CCATGCCCAGTCGGATGGCATGGTTGAGAGACTAAGACCAGCTTTCTAAATTCATTGCACAGGAAAGAAATGGGACCAGTATCTGACATAGTTTGAAATGGCTTATAACTCCAGTGTTCATTCCAGCACTGGTTTTTCTCCTTTCTTTCTGGTGCATGGCAGAGAGCCCCTTTTGCCTGTGAATGTTCTGTTGGACTGTGGACCCGCGGTGACCACTGTCACGCCAGGTACACCAGCTGCTTATGCTACTAGTCTTTCAGCTCGCTTATCCATGCTTTTCGGAATGCGGCTGAAAACTCAGCTTCAAGTAAGGAACGTCAGAAACACTACTATGACAGAAAGACTGTGTTTCATCCATATGCATCTGGTGACCTTGTTCTTTTGGATGATCCGGCACCATGGATGAACAAGCTTGCTCCCAGATGGAAGGGTCCATTCATCATTTGCCGACGGATGGAGAACGATGGATGCCCAGGGGTCACTTATGAGATACGTAGTCCTGGAAATGACCAGTCACGTAAGTGGGTGGTGTATCACAATAAACTGAAAGCGTACAAAGGAACCCTGAATTGCATGAACCGCTTCAGTCGCATCCACCTACACCCATACCTGAACTGGGTCTACTCAGTGCTGCTACATCTGGCCTCACAGCTGTCAGAAGCTTTGCCTTTTTGACCGCCAACCCCTCCGCATGTGCCTCAGGGGACTGAGAACGACTCTCCAGTGGATTCTGTTCAGATGCCTCATGTAGGTGGTACTGCATCGTCCCCTAGACTCTCTGATGCACCCACATCTCCTGTTCCCTCGGGATCGGGTGTTGCAGAGTCTGATGTTTCGGCACCAGTCACTTCACGAAAAGGCCGACATGTTAGGCGTCCCGGTAAACTCGGACTTCATTACTTAATGGACTAGTTGGGTCTGTCTTTGTCCTGTGTTGTTGGTTATGTTTCAGCTGCATATGTAGTAAATATACTGTTTTACGAATGCTCATGGTTGTCATTAATGCACTTTCGGCACAGTGGTTCAACCACTCTTGGTTGAGGTTATTTGTGGTTGACAGTGCAATTATTATTTGAAATGAGGACATTTTTTTTGCAGTGGTGGTTGACTGTAATCTTTATTTAAGGTTTATATAATTCATGTGTTGGACATTTCATTATTTTGGGCAGTACAGTAACTTTTGTGTTTATGGAGATTTGAGTTCTGTATTAAAAGAAGAGACTGATCTGTTTACACCACCTGCTGGTGGTTGAGGAGAAGACAGGCGGGGAGAGAGGGAGAAGGAGGAAGTGAAGGAAGCAGCGGCGAGCTGCGGTGTGGGAGTTTTTGGTTCTGTCCTGCTGTTCGGCAATAAAGAGGATTATAAATCACAACTGTAGCCTGTCTTCCATTTACCCCCCGAGAGCCGGCACCTATCAACAAATAAGGGTTACAATAGTAAAAGTTTGTTAAGAGGCATGAAAAATGTTTTAAAATAATTTGTTTTCCAAATTTGCTTTAAGTATTAAACATTGGTAGAAATTTAAACAGACAAAATAGAAGACTGACAGCATCCAGTTGGTGAAGGCACTGTTTCATCAACGTTCAGCTCATGGGCCCTCATTTATCAATCGTACCCACGCAGAGATCTGTGCGTATGTTGTGTGGACTAATTTACACACTGTAGTATACATCAGTTTGAAATGTTTGAGATGTTTACAACATCAGCAACTTGTTTGGGTCTCTTGCACTTTGGCAGTCAGTGCCTCAATGTCATAGTCAATAAAGCTTTTTATTTCGGGAGGAAGGCAGGAATTGCCCCAAGCCCCCATAATTTGGGTCTGGATATGAAGCAAAACGGGAAGTGACAAAAACTGCAGTTCCACCCTCATCCACTGGGGGCTGGTGTCAGAAGTTAGCAAATCCTCACTGACTCCCATGTTAAAAATACCAATTTCACAGCAGAAATAAACATGTTTACAGCCTGGTTCTAAAACATGTTTTAGGTTTGTTAGATCTAGTTTAAACTCATGACAACTCTGAGGGGGGTGAATTTTTTGTCACTCTTCTGTTTAAGTGTATTAAATGCCTAAAATTCTGAATAATTAATGAGCATCGGACCCACGTGACTGCAGAGCAAGCTGCAGGGAAAGACCTCAGCCTGACCCTCGGCCTCGCATTAAAACTGTTCTGAGATTTTCAGTCTCTCAACTTAGACCATTAGTTGTAGCATTTGTATATTCTTTTTGAATATTATTTGTGCAATTGCTGAACAAAATGACATGCTGTGGTATTAATTGCACTAACAGAGCATCCAAGAAATCCCCATTTCATTTTTTTCTGTAAGTAAAATTATATTCATATATTTTAGGTCACTGCCGCTCTTGCACTAGCTGAGCTTAGATTTTTACATGTACTGTTTAACCATGAAATTTGAATGTAATAGGGTAAAACCCAGTGCATTTAACATAACGCTGCATTTTTGAAAATGGGTTGAAATATGACATGTTGGTGGAGCTGGGTTCCAACTATCGGTATGGACTCCCTCCCCTCAGCAGAAGCTCTGCGCATCTCTGATCGCAGCGGCGCGGGCTACCGGCTTGTGGAGCTCTCAGATGGAAACCGATGCTTTCCACCCGGGTCTCCCCAGCAGCAGTTTGGCGCATCTCTGACTCAGAAGCTCCGGTTTTGTGCAATTAGCTCCGGTTGTAGCTAGGTAGCTACTTCCGTTAGCTTAGCTCCCACCTCTGCGTTAGCTTGTAGCTACATCGCTTCAGTTCGACGGTTGTCGTCATTTGATCCCAGCCTTACAGTCCCACCCTCAGCTCCAACTCTTTTCCCTTTTTTGGAATTGTCTGGGCTTGACGGAACCTGTGACACAGTCAAAATGGCGGTGGTTGGAACCTCCCATTGTGGCACAAAACCTTATAATTGGAGCCTATGGACACACATTGTTCAGTATATATGTCGATGGATTCCCCTCATGATTGCAAGCTGAAGACGCAGCGTGACCAAATATGGTTAATTGAGGGTATTTCTGTACGTAAATGACTGTGAACAGACAAGAGCACCTGGGTATGCACAGGTGGGATTTATCATCAGCCAATTGTGGAGGAACGTAAGTATGAGTGGCCACCACCTGTGTCATAAATCAGGATTTTGACCGTTTGTACGCACATTCTAAAATTCATTCATAGGATGGAATATAGGAATATTTCTACGAACATTTTGTGAATGGGGCCGCTGGTTTCCAGTACTGACCCACTCTCTATGGATTTGTGATGTTCTACTGACATCAGGAGTTGGAGGCTAGAAACAACTGCTAATAATGTGAGCACCAAGTTTAAGGGTACAATATGTAAGAATTTGACAGTGAAATAATAACAAAAGAGTCTACTGTCTGAGTCATGTGGGAGAAATGTTACACTGAAATAGATTTCCTTCTCCTTCGCTGGAGGGTTGTGAGGTGTTCTCCTTTCACAACGGACAAAGAGGGGCATAGTCATTGTTTACAATCTGTGAGCATGCGGAGTGGCTGAGTCTGTGTAGCGCCAGCATTTGTGATTTGAGACCATGCGGAAAAACATTTTTGTATATCGACTTTGTAAAGAACCTAAGCCGCCAACAGGAAAAACCCGGCAGTTATTTTTTGTAACTCTAAGAAGCCATTGCATCTTTTAGTTTTACTCTAATATTGGGTAAGAAGAGCTATAGGCTAACGATGAAAACATCTCTTACCTCTGGAGGCTCTAAAAAAAAATCTCAAGCTACTTTTACTATCCACCAACAACTCGATATTACGGTGAAATGTATTTATCTACTTGTCAACTTACTGTGTATCACTCGTCTGCATGTCAGCTAGAATCGTATGGTGCTAATTCGTAGATGGCAACAGCCACGAACGGGGGTGAGAAATTGACTCATTTTGTTTGGAAAATAGGCTGCAGTACCCAAATTTGACCACAGGATGTCAATCTTACATGATCCACCTTTAAAACCTCTGAGTTGGACTTTTAAGAGAAAAAACCCAGCATAAATATAGAGGAAAATTGGCAGCTTACGGTCTTTCTGCTTTCATAACTGCTGTTTTCAATTGTTTATAACTGTATTCATAAACACTTTCAGTTCTTTAACTATTACCAGTTGGTGCTTATGAACAAATTTGGTTTGTAGTTGTGTTACTCACATACTAACCGGAGATCAATAAACATAATCTGTAATAAAAACACTGTTTAAAACTAGACCGGTGACATTAAGACATCTGTTTGAAAGACAAATCCTACACTGAGTGGAGAAAACCCATCTTTCTACACTCCGATCCTCAATAGTAACTTACATGTATTAATTTAAAGTTTACGTTTTAAAAAAGGGCAAAATAATGCAAATATCAGATTGAGACTGGAGTAAATACCTGAGATGAACGTCTAGATAAGAAAATAAAGGTTTTTGTGACATCTGTAGATAACGTTATAGATGGGAAACCTGATGAACACCCTGCCTCAGCTAGCATGTTGGATAAGTAACAGCAGACTATAAAAAACCAATAGACCATCTCTATGATCAACAGAATTAGCATATATACTGATTTTCCTAACCTCTGAAAACCGAGTACAGTTGGGATTTCAGAAACTGAAATTGATCAGAATAAAGAATAGATATTTAATAGTGTCAAGTGTTTTAAGGTTAAATTGGTGGTTATTGCTTAATTTTAAAAGAAAGGAAAATAAATACACACAAATTAAAGGCTGTTATGTGAGTAAAAGGAAAAACATTCTGGGAAAAATTGATGATACCACTGCAGGGTTGAGAAACCGTTATCTCAAAAGCGGCTAAAAATCCCAAATAGCTCACACCACTACAGCTTGCAATCTGCATGATCACAGAAACAGGCAAACATGCAGAAACATCAGGAGGCAAAGCATGGAAGTCAACCACAGAGCAAGCACAGTCCCAACTGAACCGCGAGCAGAGGTTAATCAGAGCATGAGGCTGGGGTATGGAGGGCAGGGCCAGGGGCTGACCGTGGAGGTACTCTAGGGGGTCCTGGCCGGAGATGAGCCAGTTTCGGAACAGGCGGAGATGGTAGGAGCACTGGTGAAGGTGGTGGGCCAGTGCCCGGTCCAGAGGGAGTTGGCGGCGGCCCAAACTGAGGTCAGTAGATAAACATCTTAACAACTGGGCCACATGGTGCTCCTCCAAGGGCTCTGAGGAAGAAGAGGGAGAACGAGTGGACCAGGAGGGAGGAGGAGGAGTACAAAATACAAGGAATGATAGGTTTTAAGCTTAAGAAGGGTGAGAAAAAATATCTGAACTTCAACAAAGATCAGAAGGGAAATAAGAGCCTGGAGAGAGAGGCAGGTGTACAACGACAGGAGGGAAAAGAAGTGTAATGTTTCATGTATGTGAGGGATGTGCTCTAAACCAAAAGTAGCAACCAACAGCCTCTCCGGCTGCCAACATCCCACAAACACCACCAAAGAGATTTCAGCATTTGACAAAAAACGCAAGGCGAGATACTGAAATCAAACTAAAACGTTGCTCCTCTGTAGTCCCAACGTAAACAAACAACTGAAACTAGAGATCCAATAACTGTGAGAACCAACAAAGGAGCAAGAGTGACACACAACACTTACAGGAATCAGTAAAGCCCAAACTTAAGACGTCCGACTGCAGAAGTTGTTAAATGTGCAGATCAATCAGCTGTAAACATTGACAGTCTGAAGTCACCCTGTTAATAAAAAGCTGCCATTAAAGCCACTTTCACATCTGGGTCAGCAGGTAAGTTATATTCAGATCAGGGTCATCATTGTATTTTCCTACCCGTCCCAACCCCCCTTTTAGATCTATCCGTGGAGATCCAGTCAGGGCTGATGTGGTGCCACCCGCACATTAGGAATTGATTGGCTGGCTAAAATTCCCACCTGCCGCCTCCGATTGGCGAGTAGAATCAGCTAGCGGGGACTTTTCGCATGTGCGATTAATATCTGTTCTGGTTGCTGTCAAGTTAACATCTCTGTTACACGGAGCTCCTGCTGCAGCGTGAGGGCAGAGGGTGGAGGAGAGGAGAGCTCTGTGTGTGTGTGTGTGTGTGTGTGTGTGTGTGTGTGTGTGAGTGGGGTTTGAGGACACGCATGGCAGTGAGAGAACAGGGAGCAAATTAATAAAATAATGTGGTTCAGAGTCTTCAAAAGCAACACAGCTCATGTCCGCCTTTGTTTGTCTTATTAAGGACAGCACAGACTTTTCCATACATCTTTAATGCCACCCACATGCTGGGAAATTTCTGAATTCCAGAGCAGTACTTGGGAACCATATATGAACATAAACTGCCCGTATAAAACCAAACCAACTCAATCCTACCACGACCGTACTGACCCAGATGTGTAAGAGGCTTAAATGTGGTTAATTCCAGCACCAAACAGCAAACCTGTGGACTGATGTACCTGCTGCAGTGCACCAGCAAGATGGAGCCACTGCTACTGTGGACCAGTCGTCTTGCGTTCCTGCGGTGAATCATATGAAGAACAACACAATCAAATGTGTCCTCTCAGTTCTACATTTGTGTCTTTTTAGGCCAGCGCTCACACTCCAACACATCTCACAGCAGGAAAAAACAAACAAACAAAAAACACCAAACAAAAAAAAAAAATAATTCACACGCACACAAATCAAACCAGTTCAGGTACTGACCCAGTAAGAAGTGATGTACCAAACCACAGCTGTTCTGTCCTGTTTCATCCAGATAACTGACCTTTAAACATGAGTGGTGACACACCCATGCTATAATCTTATGGCTAACCCCACCCCCGGTCATCCAAAATAAAGAAAATACATAAAAAGAAAATAACACCTATCCATTCCAAAAACAATGTTTGCTCTTTTTAAAAATCTGAACAACTACATTGGTGAACTTGACACTGAAAAGCATAAACAAAACAAAACCGACCAAACAAAAAGCACAAGCGAAATGGAATGAACTTTAACCTCATACCAGTTTGCCAAAATGAGCAGATTTGAGTTCAGTCAGTAGTGAATGAGCTCATTCAGAACATTGATCCAAATAGATTTCATAAAAGATAATTATTTTACAAACGCAAAGCTAAGATGACATGAGGAGGGGGTTAAATATAAAGATGATGTTGGTGCAGAGTCAGCAATGAACTCAAGATGGTCACAGATGTGTGTTTTATGTGATCACTGTTTACACAAATGCACATATACTCATTTAAACACACACCTCTTCAATGGAAAATGACTGTAAATCGCTGAGTAATGGTAAACAATGTTAAACAGGGTCCCCACCCTCTAGGTCCAGTACCACAGCACTGAGGAATATTGGTGCTTTAAAACAAGGAATTGGGTTTTAAAAATGGAAAATACACTAATTTACAAGAACATTTTAAAAACTAGATCCTACTGAGAAGGTACAAATAGCCAATGGTTTTATTTCTGTCTATCGATTTATTTTGTGTTTTTTGAACAAGCTGATCAACAAGCTGAGGTCATCAGACCTGACTGAAGTGTACCGACCAAGAGCAAACTTGAAGGCTTGAATTTAAAACCAGGTCTCACTCTTAAGTTGTTTTTATTTCATCCTGCTGCGTTGTCATGACTAGAATAACGAGTGCCATCAAACAGCTAGCGTTTAAAGAGGGTCAGGGTCAGGGGAAGCAGGAATAAAAACACTAAGAACTATGGATGCAAGAAAATATTGATCATTAAAATATCGTAATTTTTTGTCTTACAGTACTGAATCAATATTAAAAGCATCGTTTCAATGTTTATTGAGAATTTACATGCACACATTTGCTGTATTTCTTTGTGTGGTGCAATTCAAACTCTGACCGCTAGTCAGCAGCAGTTTTTACCGCCCAAGGGATCTTGCGATACACCAGATGTGTCTTGGAAGCATCTGGCCTGAGTTTTCCAATTAAATTTGATCTTAAAAATAGAAAACACCATCTGGGTTTTACCATCACACTACACTCACCTGCCACTTTGTTGGGTACACCTGTCTAACTGCTCCTTAATGCAAATTACCAATCAGCCAATCACATGGTGGCAACTCAAAGCATTTAGGGATGTTAAAATGGTCGAAACAGTCCGCTGCAGTTCAAACTGTTTCCTAATGGGGAAGAAAGGTGATTTAAGTGACTTTGAACGTAGCATGGTTGTTGGTGCCAGATGAGCTGGTCTGAGTATTTCAGAACCTGCTGATCTTCTGGGATTGTCATGCAAAACCATATCTAGGGTTTACAGAGAATGGTCCGAAACAGGGAAAACATCTGGTGAGCGTTAGTTCTGTGGGAGAAAATGCCTTGTTGATGCCAGAGGTGAATGACCAGGCTGGTTCTAACTGACAGAAAGGAAACAGTAACTCAAATAATCACTTGTTACAACCAAGGTATCCAGAACAGCATCACTGAACGCACAACACATCGTACCTTGAGACAGATGGGCTACAGCCGCAGAAGAACACACCGGGTGCCACTTCTGTCAGCTAAGAACAGGAAACTGAGGCTATAATTCACAGAGGCTCACCGAAATTGGACAATAGAAGATTGAAAAAGTGTTGCCTGAGTCTCAATTTCAACTGCGACATTCGGATGGTAGGGTCAGAATTTGTCATCAACAACACGAAAGCTGGATCTATCCTGCCTTGTATCAACGGTTCAGGCTGGTGGTGGTGTAATGGTGTGGGGGGTGTTTTCTTGGCACACTTTGGGCCCTTTAGCACTAATTGATCATAGTTGCAACGCTACGGCCTACCTGAGTATTGTTGCTGACCATGCCCATCCCTTTATGACCACCATCTTCTGATGGCAACTTCCAGCAGGATAATGCACCATGTCATAAAGCTCAAATCATCTCAGATTGGTTTCTTGAACATGACAATGAGTTCACTGTACTCAGATGGCCTCCACAGTCACCAGACCTCAATCCATCAGAGCTCCTTTGGGATGTGGTGGAACGGGAAATTTGCATCATGGATGTGCAGCCGACATATCTGCAGCTACCTCATGAATGTCCTGTTTTTGACCAAAAGGTGCGTCTGCTCAAGCAGAGACATAAAGTCTCTAACAGGCTAATCTACATGAGATATTGGCCAAGGTCTTTCATGCACTCTGCTCATCTGAACTGCTTCACCTCTGTTACAACTCAGTACAAAGACGAAGAACTCTTGACAAATACATAATCAACAACTTTGTTATTACCAATAATAATGTGAGCCCAATGTTCAAACAGTCTGTGAAATGACATTGTTATTACTTGATATTATAATCCTGTGATCAGTAGTATTTTACAAGTAATTATAATCCTGGACATTTGCACTAGACACTGAGGAAATGTAATGCTAAAGTCACACGACACATTTCCTTTTGTCTGACCCAATCAGAACCTTAGTTTCTGGCGCGAGGCGTGGTTTTCTGTGGTGTTTGTATAAACCCTCTTTTGAATGTCAAATTCTGATTCGCCAGGAAACCAAAATATGACAATTATAAAAACTATCCCACGCCACCTTTTCTTTATTTCAAAGCATTCTAGAGAAGTCTCAGACAGGCCATCCGTACTTCCTCTTCAGCCAATAGAACCTTGAAAAGCTGGATAAAATCTGTTGCAAGTTACACCTGACTGCAACGGTTCCTTCAGAATAAAAGCTGAACCTCACGACCCCTTCAGGGTCTTGGAGACGCCAGTGATAACCTGTCCTGACCCGGAAGCATTCCAAGACTGGTTTGGTCGGCACTGCTGCTTTTCTACCAGCTTTAGTTCCAAGGAGGGTCCAAGAGGACCTCGACATTCTGGATCTTCGACATCTGGATGGCTTCCCCTGGGTACGTAGACCGACAGATGGCGTTTCATGTGTGTTATAAATCTACTAAAGTTTAGAGCCAAACATTCACTCCTACTCAGAACTAAATGCTTCTCGGGATCTGCTGGTTCTGAATAACATACCACACACACACACCATCATCATTCATCACTTCTCACTCCACCTTAGTCCATCAGTACACAGAGTGTTGAAAGTTCATCTTGTTTAAATTGTGTAGAAATACATTTCTTAACTATTATAAACCTAACTCTCTCTCTCTTTCCTTGGAGTTAATACAAAGTGTCACATAATCCCTGCAATAAAAAGTTCTGATCTTTTGGTTAAAATATTCAACGATCCATCAGATTGATATTTCATATTTCTATGGAATCTCACATTTTATGGTTCATAAGTAAGATGTAAACTACCTATCCTTTACATATGATGCTATCATATCATTATGGACCAAAAATATCTGAGGAATGTTTCCAGTGCCTTGTTGAATCTATGCCATGAAGGATTAAGGCAGTTCTGAGGGCAAAAGAGGGTCCAACCCGGTACTAGTGTACCCAATAAAGTGGCCAGTGAGTTTATATCGTACTGTAATACACATTTCGCCAGATTTTTGCCAAAAAACACCTCTACTAGACACTGGACCCTAGTTACTCATAAAACATAAGGTAAATAAATACTACAGGAGTCTGAAGTATCCAGGTGTTCTAAGTTAATTATAAAATGTAGAAATCACTGAAGATTTACCGTCTTTTGGGGTCTCACCCAAACCCTAGCGTCTTTATGTCACATTACTGTTCCACTAGCTACACACTAGATGGAGAACACATAAGTGATGTCATGTCTGGTTAACTGTGTTACAGCCACCAATAGGCAAAATGACCACCGTCTCAACCACAGACTGTCTGAGCGGTTTAAAGACACACACACATGCACAACCACACTATCAACAAATTAAAACTGCAACAAGCTGCTGAACAACAGACTGTACAGGTTGGAGTTCTTGTTTCATGAACTTATAAAGAAACAAACAAAATAAGCCAAATGAATTGCTGCCATTCATAAACACCTTATTCCAGGATCACACATATATCTTATGATAAATGATCTGTAGCTGTAATAATAATATTCATTGACTTTACTTTGAGTAACCACAGGGTGAATAGGATGTTTAGCTCCTTTAGTCAGTGTACATGAAGCAGTATTTTAATCCACACAATGGACGAGAGTCAGAGGTGGTTATATGAACTTCAATAACCTTGTTAATCTCAGGGTGGCATACATTTTCAGTTCAATTTCACAGGGCAGCAGCGGAGAGGCTGAAACCGCCCTCTCCCCAGCAACCTCCACCAGCTCCACTGGTAGGAATTCAGGGTGTTTCCTGGCCAATATGGAGCTCCTATGGGTCCTGGGTCAACCTGGGGGCCTCCTGCTAGCAGGACATGCCTGAAACACCTCCCCATGGAGATGTCAAAGTGACATCATGACTAAATCACCTCTGCTGGCTCCTCTCCAAGGAGAAGCAGTGGTTCCAAGTCTCTCTCACCCTATCTGAGCCCAGCAATCTTATGGAAGAAACTTGTTTTTTCTTTCAGTCATTACCCAAAACTCATGACCATCGATGAAGACAGGATCAAAGATTACCAGAGATGTTATAGAGACTAGCTTTCTGGCTTAGCTCCCTCTTCACCTCAACATACCAGTCTGTCTACTTACAACTCCCACTTAATACCCAAATAATATCCAAACCAGTTCTGTTTACCTTAAATTCACTGGCCAACACAGATTCCAAGTCCAACCAGCAACCCAGGCATTTAAATTTCCAGGTATTATTTTGTGAATTTCCTAGTTGATAGAGACAGATAAATATATAAATATTCACACAATTCTTAGAAAGTCACAAGTTTGGCACTACAGCTGAAAAGTTCACAGATTCTTTCTGCTACGTAAACATCATCATTCACAGTGATGTTCATCAGAAAGAAAAGCAAAGGAAAGAAAGAAAATAGTGTATACTGTGTATCCAGTATACATGAGTATGCTGTATACACAGTATACACTGAAGTGTGGAGACTCCACAAGAGTACTCCACATTCGTTACACAGCTCGTTTTAAACACTTGATAATACACCATGAATGGGAATGTACCACAAAGAAAAATTACTGGGGTGCCTTAAATCATTTGACGAGATTTCAAAAACCAGATAAAGTGCACAGATTCCATGAGATTCAAAACATAACTGAATATACTGGAAACCTTCTAGAGGAAGCGGACCATCACTGAGTGGTAGGAAAGTTCTACCAATTACAGTAAAAAAATAAGCGGTTATAGTAATTTCTAAGATCTAAACAAATGATTAGAGAAATATAGTAATAAACCGATGTGATCTCCAAATATGCCAGCTAACACATTCTCACACCCGAAGCATCGAAAAATGACGATGGGTGACCAAGCGTTTGTTTTCGACGCATTGGGAGTCCCAACAAGAGAAGTGTCAGGTGTTTTTAGAAAAGTAGGAGTCCAAAACGACAGGGGGGGGGGGGGGGGGATTAGAGGGACCAATTTACGGAAACCTAAAATGCTGTAGGGCCACGTGAAAACAAAAAAAACAACGTCCAAAGTTGGGACTCCCAACGCGTTGGGAGGCGACACGCTGTGCCAGAGCTTTGGTTTTCGAGTCGCACAGTAAAACACACATTTATCCTCTAATCTCTTGCTATTTAACCTTCCCCTCACCCACATCCTAACCTTACCCAGTTTCTCATTCTAAACTTCCCGTTAACCATGTTGGAGAGGGACATTACAAGTAGAGGGTCAAGGTTCAGATGGGGGTGAGGGGAAAGTTAAATAGCAAGAGGGTAAAGGTCCCAATTGGGTGAAATCTCCGTTTTACAGTGGCAGTCAGAAAACGACGCTCTGGCACAGCGTGTCGCCTCCCAATGCGTTGTAAACAAACGCTTGGTCACCCATCATCATTTTTCGATGCTTTGGGTGTGAGAATGTGTTGATTTATTAGTTACAACAACTAAAGGTTTGTATCATTTCCAGCAGATTTAAGTAACACGTGAACAGCTTTTACATCTATGGAGCTTTAGAAAGTGTCATTTTTCTGAGGATCTTTCCCAGTTTCAATGTTTGTTGGTGTTGTACAAACTGAAGGATCAGTGGGAACCCTGATTAGAAAGAGAAATGTCAGGTGTTTTTGGAAAAGTAAGAGTCCAAAGCGAATGGGTTTAAAAAAAAGAAATTAGAGGGAAAACGTTACGGAAACCTAAAATGCTGGAGGGCCATGTGAAAAAATAAATTAATAAAAAAAAACAATGCCCAAAGTAGAAATACGAAAAATAAATGTTTGAAGGCATGCAAGACAAAAGGGAGGTGAAGTGGAAAAATACTAGAAGGAAGCAGACGTACCATTAGTCGGATGCTTTGCAAACGACACAGAAAATCGTTTTACTGCCGGCATAGACAACAACTCTGAGGAAATAAAAAATATAAATCACTAGTGTTACTATGAACCACAGCACATCATGTGTTTTTATTTCCCTGTACTTTTCTCTTGTACACGCAAAACAAAAAGAGTCAGCCACCATCTACACCGAGTGCTGTAGGAATCAGAACGAGTGTTCCTGTTCATGAAAAAGCTCCAACTGAAGTTAAAACATGAAACTCGATGCTTGAAGATGTCTAAATATGTCATGTGGGCCAACACATCAATGGAACATCTTCAGATGACAAAGTGAAATGAAATTATTTTAACTGAAAAAATATAAATATATAAAAATAAAAAAAATGCAGTGAATGAATTCAGAAACAGGTCCGGCAGTCTGGTCAAACCAAAAACCAGCTAATCTGTAATCTGTACTGTAATGCCAACAAAGTCTGAGTCTGTCTCTTCAAAGATAAAGACAAAAATATCAACTGGTGATCCTGGTTAGGATTCGGTAGCTACAGCAAGAAAAAAGATGAATAAGCCACTGCTCCACTAAAAGGCAGCACACTAATCCAACACCATGTGGGCACACTGGCTGAGACTAGAATGGTTCCTTTCATTCTTGAAAACGAGGTGTAACAAGATGGATGACAAAGACCAACAGTGAGTCTGCATGAGAGATGAGGCAGAGGATGGAGGCTGAAACAGTCTGGATGGTACTACACTGACATCTACTGGACGCTACACACACCTCCACGTACACACAATCAGTATGACCAAGTTTAGCTGCATCTGCCATCTGAGTTTAACCAGGACCTTAGAGAGACACACACACATTATTATGATGTGATGAACACATGAACAGAAGCAGCTCAGGCATCTGAGGGCTGAATTTGAACAAAGTGGTTTGAAATCAGAAGTTAACCTAACTTTAAACATAGAAGTGGGTGTTGCATCTGTTTTAAACTCACTGACTGATAATAGTTTCCAAATAAGATGTAATTACTATACAGATAAAATCTGATGCTGTGTTACTTCATTTCCACACTAAAAGTACAGCAAAACAAGTCACCTTTGTTTGTAAGTTTATCATTTGATAAGCTACAATTACTGTTGTTGTTGTTGTCGGTAACCTGATGACTTTACTAACTTCCTACATTTAAAGGAAGATTCCTTACAAAACATTTTGAAACAAAGGTTTGGACTAACTGTTGAAACTTTGCTTTAGAGCAGAATTCTAGTAAAGCCAAATCCCTAAAGAGTGATTTCACTTGTACGGTTTTTCCAACACTTTGCATCGGCAAGGAACAGCTTTGCCTAAAACAATTATTTCACTTCCTTGGGACATTAAAGTAAATATTATTGTGCTACCATCAATTTCATCTAAAATGTTAGACATTTGGAAGGAGCCAAAGCAAGAACATTTAAAGGTTGGATTATAGTTCTACGTTAGGAAAATACCAACTAAAACAAGTGAATGAAAGGTGTGTTGACGGTTACTCTGGTGAATTTTTAACCTGAAAACTTCATAAATAACTTCAAGTACACCTAATAAATTTAGAAATCTTGACTAAATACTGGGAAATTACCAAGCTGGCACACAAGACCCTGAATGATTGACAGACTAAACCTCGAGTGTTCTAACAGATTTATTATAAGTTTGGCTCATTTTCACTTCTCACTAGCTGAGGGACATAAAGCATAAGAGGTCATGCTTCAAAGTACATACATGTACTGGTTTGTCTTCAGAATAACGATTGCATAAAAAACTTTGTCTTAAACGTTGATTACTTATTCACTAGCTTACTCATAAATGTCACTGCTGAAAACTCACTAGTGTTGGTCCTTGTTTCTCAACTAAAATCTCCATCCTGTACGTTAAAGTTTTATTTCATATGAGGTGAATGTAGAAGACACAGGGTTGTAACACTTCCCTCCACATCGCTCAGCCCTACCGGAGTGTTTACACCTGAAGTTCAGATGAACACCAGACAACATAAAACACATAAAAGGTTTGTGCAAAGAAAACATGGAGGTATCCTGATTTTATAAATAGAACTGAGAAGTTTAATGCTATTCTGGACATGCTGTAAAACAAACAAACAAACACACACACACACACACACACACACACACACACACACACACACACACACACACACACACACCCACCCACACACACACACACACACACACACACAGGGTGTTTCATGATGAATGCTTCTGCTCTCGTCCTAGCCTACTTAACTTTACTGACAAGTGTGATCTTCACTGCAGTTCCTAGTGCAGCTGCAAGAACAACACAACTGCTGCTAAATGTTCATGTAACTCAAGGTGACTCCACAAACCAACATTTGCTCCAAAAATTGAATAATTCTACGCTAAGTGGATATAATCAAGCCATGACTAGATCTGCAGTCATTTAAAACCTTTAACACTGTGAACAATTTTATGCCTTTGGCTTACTAAAAAGGATAGTTCACGTTTTTAAGTGTTTCTAGAAAACAAAAGTTTATGAACAATTAACATTTTTGTTGTAGAGCAACTTGAAAGTTCTCAGTTAAGAGAAACATAGACGAGTTCTGAGCTAACAGCCAGAGGAGCCAGTTACAAAGTGCTGAACCCTAACTAAAATCCTTTTAAATTAGCATAAAATTTACATTTGATGGTTAATCTAAAAATTAAAAACAGCCTAAAACAAATTGGCTGGAATTCCCCCAGCCTATGTCCTTCGAACATTTCCACGACAAGTCACCACAGTACGAGCATGTCATGTGAAATGTATGAGGCTGTAACAGTGTATAAAGTAGCATATGCATAAACGTCTGACAGTGTTTAGGTTAGAGCAGTTTAAAGGTGACATGTTGTGCAAAACTCATGGTGTCTTTTTGTGCTGCCAAGTGGGTCTCTACCTCCACTCCAAAGGTGGGAAAATAATTCATCCTTTGTCTGTCACTTTAACCCCTCCTGCACACTAGAAGCACCAGCGGCGCGGAACGGTAGCGAAACGGTACCGCTTCAAATAGAATTCACTATAGTCTATGGAGTGCAACAAACCAGCCGCGATGCGGCAAACTTTAGGTACGTCCCAGAAGCAGCACGCTGCGCCGCTAAAGATACGATCAGATTCTATTTTTTCCCGCGAGCTGCTTCTGGGATGTGTCAATTACCGCAGTTAACATAGGGCTAGACAGGAAATTACACACGGCTTCAGTGTAAAACCCTGGTAATTTTCAAAATAAAAGTATTGCAGCGATGCAATTTCATTTATATGAAGCGTACGTGTGACCCAACGGCTTATTTACTCACAGCATCATTCCAGAAGTGCAGCGGTGTGTTTTCATGGCTTTACTTCTGGCGGTGGAGAGGAACATCATCATATATGACATGAAACGGCAATAACAATGTGACTTCCTTCTTTGGAAAGGTTTAATGGCAGATTACAACAAACCAGGACTTTTTAAGTCTCAAGGGATCATGTGATCTCACAAGGAGGTTGGCAGAAGTCTCGAGGGATTTGTTGATCTCGCGAGTCAAGCGAGGAGCACGGCAGAGAAGCCGCTTCGCTGCTGAGACTCCAGGTGTGCACTCGAGTGCAACGATTGGTGAGAGTAAACCACTCCGCTGATGCTTTCAGTATGCAGCCGGGGTAAGGGAATCTTCTACGAGCCATTTAAAAAGTCCCTTACTGTGGTGTCCCAATAAGGAAAGTTTGCCTACCCTCCCACCTTTCAGTACTGGAGGAGCAGCGACTCTACTCCAAGCCCCCCCTGGATATCTGAGCTCTACGTGAGGGGAATTTGTGCAAAGAACTTCATGAACGTGTTTTATAGACCTATCATAACTTGTTTACAAAAAGTATAATATACCCCTTTTAAAGACAGCAGAAACTCTTTGTAACTAGCTCCAATCAGACTAGCCTTTAGCTCATCTATCAGCTCAGTTGTTCAAAGAACAAGTAAGGCACCCATTGTTCGTAAGATAAGGGTAGAAACACAATTTAAAAGAACCAAATGATTCCCTAAATAGGGGACGTCTCAAATAGGCCCGAGGCAGTTTGTACACAAAGCTAAAGCCTTACAGCAACATGGAGGGTAGAAAACTATGGGTAAACAGTGGGTTTAGTGACTCACATGAACTGAAAATATGAGAATGGGAAAAATGTAAATAAAGTATAATTTACATGTATGCATATACATGATACTTGTCCCAAAACAAACTGATAATGTCACTCACCATCTCACTAACCCTAAACCTGCTTTATCTTGAGTTTCCCTCAGAGCATCACACATGTGTCCTTCAGGGGTGAGGACTAAGAGGAAGTGAGTGTCTGATCTACTGCTGCTGCCCTATGCAGGTTTGTGAAACAGCGCGGTGACCTCAGACACGTACCGTCTTTGTAGGACAGACTGCCAGTGGAGAATTTTTTGCGGTGTACGCGTGCGTAGTCCTGCAGGTTAGGTGCGCTAGAAGAGCCACCTAGGACGGTGGTGCTGAAGAGCCCAGCACACTGAGAGCCTGCGAGGGGGTGCGGGGGAAGGGTTAGAAACCACCAAATGACATGCTGTTACTTAAACAGCTCACCAGTAACAGCTCACCAGCAAGAGACAGAGAAAAAAGGAAGGAAAAGAGAAGAAAGACAAGCAGAAACAAGCACTCAGAAAAGACCATGCGACTTCTATCTCCATCCCTCTTCCGTCTCAGAGAGAAGACGTTTTGTTAAAATGATCTTGTTTGAGTACCCTGTTCAATGTTCGGTGTTGATGCAATTTGCTGGGTTCCTTATATAGGAAACATTATTTCGGATTGGCTTAATGAACTGTGAATTGGAATGTTTATTATGTGAAGTGCCTTGAGACGACTCTTGTCGTGATTTGGCGCTAGATAAATAAACTTGAATTGAATTGAATTTCATGAATTTACACATCAGGAATTCATAAAAAATGAACTGATCCTTAACAGGTCTCAAATGAGGTAAAGCAGCCTTGGCAGAAGAACATCATGTCACATTTTGCAAAGACCTATCCCATAATTCAATGGCATGTTTCGCCTCTATGACCTTTAACCTGAGACTTGTAGAGTTTGAGACCTGGTGAGTCTGAGCATTACAAGGTCTGACCTAAAGGGTATTAGTATGGTGTTAACACACGCCTGTATGCTCCAGATCAGCAAACTGCCAAACTCGCACTTATGGAAGAGGTCACACCTATAGTGGTGATCAGTTAAGATTTCATCAGCAGCAACTAGCTGACGCTGACCGTCCTAATGCCTGTTGAAGCAGTACAACCAGATGTTTTATGCCCTTATTTGGGTTTATTCGTGGTAAATAAATAACTATTTTGTTGTTCATTTAAAGTTAACTTTACGTCACTCTAAGACCTGGTAAAGAACAGAGGAGTTCATGATGACCTGATTCATAAAAATACATTTGAAGAAGAAGGAAAAAAAAACCTGGTTGTAAAACTAAAATCAGAAAATAAAAAATAAAAAAATCATCTAACTGAAACATCAGAGTTAATATTAATATCCAAATGAAGAATATTTTTAAACATCATAGAAAGACAACAGTTAAATATTTAAAAGGACATGGTGGAGGACTGAAATAGCTGACACTCAAACCTGACTAACCATCTAGGATGCTTTAGACACCTCAGAATACATGACTGAAACATTAAGGCATAATACAACACAAAATCTCAACACAGCCAATAAACAACCAATTTGAAGTTTGTCTATTTCTAATAAAAAGCTCATTCAAAAGCAAAAAGATCTCAAAATCACTGTGATTAGAAAGGAGAGAGAATGACGACCTCTATGATCAGATCCACTTTAGCTGACTCATCTTAGTGTGTGAGCATCAACATTTCACCCATGATTTTAGTCACTTTACTTTACAAGGATGAACCAGAAGCTTTCTCAGACTTTCCTTCTGAAAACAGAACAACTGTCAACGTAACAATGGCCTCATCTACCAGATTACTGCTGCTCACGTTAGGCTCATTACAATTTCGTTGACAGAGATTTCCCCCAAAAAACATCATTTCAGTTCTGGTAATAGGACCTTAGAGCGAAATGAGGCAGGTTCTTTTAAAATATTTTATTAAGTCATAAAACCAAGTTTTTTTTACGCCTGACGATCTTCAATTGTTCATTGAAACCAGCCAAATGCCCTAAAACATTTTAGCCCCCTTAAGCCGGGCGTACACTGTGCAACTTTTTCACTCGCAGCGTTCAGCTTCAGCTCAAACTGTACGACTTCCTCGCAGAGCAGATCTCACGAGTCATGTGCTCACACTGTACGACCCAGCTCTCGGATGCGACCTGACTGCTCACACTGTACGTCTGGTAGCAACACGTCGGCCCTAAAAATATGCTAAAAATAGCAGTTTTTACTCAACACGTCAGACTTTTTTGTCTTGTTTTGCCTGTTGTCCTTCGGGAGTGCTGCAGGAGGACACACAGGGATTTATGGGGGTTGGATGAGGAAAACGAAATAAAGAAAGTAAATCTGTGTTTTGTGATCAGTGTAATTTGACATGAACACGACAAACACGCTTTCTTGACAATCTTTGTGAGTAAAAAACGTGTAGAAACAAAAACGAACAGCGTGTGTTATTAGGGAAATAGCGGCGAGTGGCATTGGTGCAGGATTGCGCATGCGCCGTGAGCGGTTCTGGTACTTTTTGGGTCGCAGCTGCTCGCAGCGCCGCTTCAACAGTGTGATACCCTCACGAGGGACGAGCAAAATATTAAACACTCCAGAAGTCCGTGCGAGCTCACGATTGCTGATCGGTAGCTGGTCACGTGGTGTTAATCGCCTCTCGTAACCCCCTGTACACTACACGACCGCTCGGCGCAAAACTCGCCCCGATGTCGTGGATTCTCGCACGACTGGAAAATCGGCTCAAAAAAGTGAAAAGGTCGCACCGTGTACGCCCGGCTGTACGTTCTTAAAACCTATAAAATAATATTTACATAAATTATCTCTTCCACAGATACACAGAAATCAAATTAAACCAGCACCTTTTCCTACCATTTTGAACCCAGTTGCCATAGAAACGGGGCATTTTTCACCTACCTAATCCACTTTGTTTCATCTCAGGAGACATGCGTGGACAGAATGAAAAGAGGCGATAACCACCGACTTTAGAAGCAGATGTTTCTGACAGGACCTGGTGGAAAACACACGCAGACATCAGTCAGACAACAAGAGCAAGGCAGTGTGAAGCCCAGCCTCCCCCAACAGCTGATGCTCTACACAGACGGGGATGACATGTAGGAAAACAAATACTCAGGACGAAGAACAAAATTACACTCAAAGGCAAACTTGAAAATAGTGATTTTATTGTCATAAACCAAATCGAGAAGATTTAAAATGATTCAGTAATATTTTTGTGCGTCTTCCTTTGAGCTTGTAAGTCTCACCTCCATGGATCCGGTCTTATGATTGCGAATCAGTGGAGATCTCCTCTGGATGGCGATTGGCTCAGAAATCGGTATAGAACGATCAGTTTCATCTCGTGAAAGGTCCTCTAAGCTGGCGAGATCAGCCTTTTTTTGACCGTTCTGAGTAAGAAGAGAGATTCAACTGCATCAACAGGCAGCTTTCTGCAGAACGTAAGCTGCTGATTGTGATTTTACCTGCCGTAACGCTTCCGCCGAGGCGGGTCGGAAGCCAAACCCAGTTGGCGCGTGCTCCTCCTCCTCAACGTTTTTGACACCCGGGCTAAAGTGGAGCTCCACGTGGAAACGTTCCTCAGAGGAAATGTCCTTAGGATGAATAATGTCTGAGTTAAACACCTTAATGATGATTCCAAACTCCAGTTTATTTAATTAGAGGGGAGTCATTTTAATCTGGAATCATAACAGGGTATCTGCAGGTTTAAGGGAGCCAAATTTAAGACTTTTTAAGACCTTTTTAAGGCCACTTAGACCAAATTTAAGCTATTTTTTAAATTAAATTTAAGCTATAATTTCCAGCTATTGCCTGGAACCGGTGCTAACCACGTCGCGAACGTGGGATTAGCCATCCAGTTACCATTAAACTTGCACTTCCCCATGACGCAAATTCCCACTAGCTTAACCAGCTAATGAGCTCATCTAAAAATAGCCCCCTTTCACAACCAACTGAAGGTGTGCGGTTCCGCTTACACCAACATCATACACAAAAAACGCTGAACACTTAACTAGAAACTCACGAAGATTTTATAGAAATCAAAGAATCTTGTTTATTGGGTCTTTTGTAATTTAAGACCTTTGGAAACTGTATTTAAGGATTCTTTGTAATTTTTAAGGATTTTTAAAGCCTTAAATTTGGAAAAGCAGATTTAAGACTTTTTAAGACTTTTTAAGGACCCACCGATACCCTGCATAAGCGCAGGAAGACAGACACTTCAGGGCCAATAAGAACACACCTTATTGTTGTCCTCGTAGAGCATGATGACAATCTGTGTCATGTAGTTGAGTTCAGAGACCGCACTGAGGTAATCCATGGCACGCTTCCACTGCTGGTCCTTCTCCTCCTGTGGAAAAACAAAAAAAAAGTCTTACTTTAACCTTTAAACTTTGTAAAACAACCAAAGTTCAGCAGGATTTCTTTGCATTTACATCAAGTAAGCCTCCATATCTGAAGATGCTGAGCAGAGAGTGGACATGGCTCTCACTGGTGAAATATAAACGTGTTCTGACATGACGACCAGGTGACAGCACGCCACGCGAGTACCTGCAAACACAAGTCAGTTATGAAACGTGCCCCACAGCCAGTTCATTCACTACTACCTCTTTATTAAAGGTTTCACTTTTGGGACTCACAGAGGATGTAGTTTGTTGACAAACTCGTCTCCGTGAGTTCTCTGCAGGTCAAGTTGGATCTTTCTGACGAGTGGGAGGCAGTACGCATACGCGATGTCCAGTTTCTCTACTTTATTGATGCCATATTCCTGCAGACACACAAATAAAAATTCACAACCACCGATGAGACTAAGATGAGGGTTCACATCTAGAAGGCAATAGTAGAAACACTGATGTTCAGAAAAAAGTACAGGCAACAATCTTCTGTTAATAATAAACATAAAACATTTTCACAATTTTATATAAAAAAGAAAATGATAAGTTTAAAATGTTCAACAGGAACTGAAATGTCTTTTTTTCGCCCCATTTTAAGGTAAAGCTGTTATAAATACTACCCAAAGAACAAAAATCAGATCAATTTAAAAATTCAAGAAATTACTATTTTGAGTTAATAACTGTAAAAACTTAAAGAGCAAGTCACCCCCAAATCTACTTTTTTTGGCTGATAAACTATATAAATGAGTGTCTAATCATGCTGTTGACACACGTAGACAATAGTTTGGTACTTTAGTGCACGTTAATTAAAATTTAAATATTCTGCCTAAAACTGTCAGTGTTGTACTGTCTTCAGGTAAAAACTCTGAACTGCATTTGTATTTAACTGAAATTGCTATTGGCTAAGAGATACACTATGTCGTTAGCTGGTACATTAAGATGTCACGATGTCGTTGTGAGCCTGTGTGTGTATTTGTTAGCAGCTCTGCCCTCTCAGTCTACCAGGCAACAGCACTTGTTGCATTTGTCAAACAGGACGTGGAAGTGGAGTAAGAGTCTGGTGGGGGTGACTTGCTCTTTAAAATATTCTAAAGCAATAAAAACAAGGTAAAATAAAAGTAAATAGACAAAAACAAACAAAACAAGATGTACAAAGTAAAAAACCAACCTGAGGAATGACGATATCAGCCAAAGCTCGAGACAGTCTGAACAACTCCTGAGTGTCCTGAAGGCCCAGGGAAGCGTTGTGTATAACGTCGTACTTCACGCAGTCGTAGATGTCGGGTATTTTACTGATGTCATAGCGGCCATTTTTCATGCGGAAGTCTTTCTCTAGTTTGGACCAGCGCTGCAGCATCAGCTCCAGAGACTCACTGTGGTACAGCTGCAGGTCTGACGAGGGACAAAAATAAATAAGTAAAAAAAACTTAAACGGGGCTTAACTTACATTCTTATTTCCATCGTTCACATAAATATTTATATTCATTACTGGAACAAAACTGGACAACACAAAAAAGTCTCAAGCGAGAGGAAATGTGACAGAGGAGTTAAGTAACTGGAAGGCCCACTGAGGGACTAATAAAGGTATTTTTATTCTTATTCTTATTAGAGGCCCTCCTAAAGGTAAAATGTGATTTTTCATACCAGCAGATTTGGGATCTTCCATTCTTGTGCGGATCTGCGAGTTGAGGCTTTGAATGAGGGTGTAGACCTGGTCACATATGGTCACCGGGTTCTGGACTATTTTCATTGAATTTACCAAAGAGACACTGCAGGTCGGAGCGAGCTGTCACAAAAACACACACACACACAGAAGTAAATGAAAACATGATACCGCCATGTAAAAACCGCCAGGTGGTGGAACGGGCATGTTAATTTCCAATAAATGGATATACAGTCAGTTGCTACCATCACTAAATACAACTCCTTTGAATACCATGTCATCCAGGTAACTGTGCCAAAAAATTATTTTTGGTTGTCATATATCGCCAACCAGGTCAACTCAGAGACTTTCTTGATGAACTCAGCACCCTGCTTTCCTCCATTCCTGAGCACGACTGTCCCACAGTGGTCCTTGGAGACATGAATATTCACCTGGACAATCCCAGCTCATCAGGCTTCCTGTCACTAATGTCATCATTTGATTTAAAACTAGTACAAAGTCCTCCAACTCACAAAGCTGGAAAAGCACTTGACCTCATTTTCACCAGAAACTGTGCCATAGACACAATCTCTGTCACACCGCTGCATCTTTCCGATCATTACTTCATCCATTTCAGCACGACTCTACATGGGAGGTCCACAGCTTCCTCCCCAATGGTCTCATTCCACCACAACCTCCGCAATCTGGCACCCAACCACTTCTCCTCTCTTGTTGCCTCCACTCTTCCATCTCCCAGCACATTCTCTGCTTATGAAGTGAATGATGCCAACGAGTCACTCTGCTCCACACTCTGCTCTTGTCTTAACAACGTGTGCCCTTTAGCCACTAGACCTGCTAGAGCCTCTCAGTCGCACTCTTGGCTAAATGATCCCCACCGGTCTCTACGCACCACACTTAGAGCTGCGGAACGGAAATGGCGCAAAGCAAAAGATCCTGGTGATCTATTGAAATTTCATGAATTACTGTCCTCATTCTCTGCCAGCATCACTGATGCAAAGAAAGCTTTTTACACTGACAAAATTCTCAGCTCTACTCTCAGAAATTATTTTCGACATTCAAAACTCTGCTCAACCCTCCGTCTCCACCTCCTACCAACAATCTATCAGCTGATACCTTTGCCTCATTCTTCACTGACAAAGTGGCAGCTATAAGCAAACAGTTTTCTCAACTGGACACTCCTGAACATTCACAACCACAAACTCCTTCTAGCCCAACCATCTCAGACCCCACTGCTTCATTTTCCTCTTTTTACCCTGTCACTGAGAACTGTGTGTCCAAGCTTCTCACGTGCAGCCGCCCTACTACATGCCCACTCGACCCCTTTCCGACTAAGCTGCTCCAAGCTATTGCTCCTACAGTAGCCGCAGCAGTCACACATGTGATCAACGCATCACCGACATCCGGTACATTTCCCACCTCTCTCAAGCATTCTCAGGTTAAACCGCTGCTAAAAAAAAAAATATCTCTTCCTCCAAATCATGTGGAGAACTACCGACCTATCGCTCTCCTCCCTTTTCTGTCCAAAATCATTGAAAGGGTGGCTTTCAAGCAGATCACAGAATACCTCTCACAAAACTGTCTGCTTGACCCTTACCAATCTGGGTTCAAAAAGGGCCACTCCACCGAAACTGCTCTGTTAGCAGTGACTGAATCCTTAAAAGAAGCTAGAGCGTCAGGCAAATCCTCAGTGTTTATCCTGCTCGACTTATCGGCTGCATTTGACACCGTCAACCATGGCTTCCTTTTGTCCACACTGTCTAGCATGGGCATCACAGAGAAAGTACAGGCCTGGTTTGAATCGTACCTCACAGGACGATCATTCAGTGTATCTTGGCTTGGACAATCCTCTACCATGCACCATCTTGCCACAGGAGTTCCCCAGGGCTCAGTACTAGGACCTCTTCTCTTTGCCATATACACCACCTCACTGGGTGAGATCATTCGATCACATGGATTCTCCTATCACTGCTATGCAGACGACACCCAGGTCTATCTGTCATTTCCACCAGATGACCACACTGTCTCAGCACGAATATCAGACTGTCTCTCTGACATATCAAAATGGATGAAAATCCACCATCTCCAACTCAGCCTCTCTAAAACTGAACTACTTGTCATACCAGCAAAACCATCCATACAGCACAATATCTCAATCCGAAATTACTTCCTATCTCTGGCTCCTTCAAAGGCAGTTCAAAATCTGGGTGTTGTGATTGATGAACACATGACCTTTAAAGATCATGTTGCCTCTGTTGCTCATTCATGCCGCTTTGCGCTGTATAACATACGAAAGATCAGACCATACCTAACACAACATGCCACCCAGCTCCTGGTGCAATCTACTGTCATCTCCCGCCTCATTTACTGCAATGTCCTTCTAACTGGTCTTCCAGCCTGTACTGTGAGACCTCTTCAAATGGTCCAGAACGCAGCGGCGCGTCTGGTCTTCAATCAGCCAAAAAGAGCACACGTCATCCCTCTGTTCATTGAGCTCCACTGGCTACCGCTAGCAGCATGCATCAAATTCAAATTGCTAACACTAGCATACAAAGTCCGAGATGGTACGGCTCCCATCTACCTGAATCCTCTTGCAAAGGCTTACGTCTCGGCCCGGACGCTCCGGTCATCACAGGATCGTCGGCTAGCAGTGCCTACACCACACTCAGGACAATCCAGACTCTTCTCATGCATTATTCCACAAAAGTGGAATGACCTTCCAAGCACTACCAGAACTGTGGCTTCCTTTTCAATTTTCAAGAAACTCCTGAAGACCCTGCTCTTCAGAGAGCATCTTCTAAACTAGCACCTTCCCTGCACCCGTCCCCCCCTCTACTGTCCACTCCTTGTTCCCTACTCTCCATGACTGATGTCAATGTTGTTGTTATTGTTGTTGTTGTTAGCCTCAAGGGCAATATGCCGATTATCACTTGTAAGTCGCTTTGGCCGAAAGCGCCTGCTAAATACATAAACATAAAAAAACTCTAAAGTTTCAAATTGCTGCACCACTCATATCTGATTTATTTTTGCATCGAGTTGAAAAGTCAAATGAAACTCATCCTCTCTGCCCAGCACTTACTGAGGGAAGCTTCAGTTAGGGATGTTGTCTGTATGATAGAACGGTCAAAGATAAATAACTATTTAAAGCCACGGTTGGGGTAGAATAAGCTGTAGTGGTGTTACTTCTAACCCCAAAATTCCATTACCTCCGCTCCGCTGCGCTCCGCTCCGGCACGAACTCCGCAGCAAAATCGGTCCCGTTGTAGTCAGTCAGAGCTGTTCCACTATTGCGGCGCAGTGCGCCGCCCGCCGTTCCGCCATCCGGCAAAAATAGGATTGATTCTCTGCAGTCGATGGACAGAAATCACAACCGCCCAACAGGAAAAGGAGCAAGCACAACTTCCGATTTTCACAATAAATCGATAAACAAAAGGCGTTTTCTTGTTTCATATGCACAGGTTTAACAACTTTTAACAACTATCAATGGCGGCTGAACTTTAAATGCACAAAAATAAGCCATAAATACAGTTTCCACTATCAAAGCAGTCACCCTTTGTTGATCCAAACACTGCTGATCTCTCATCACAAATGATAGGCAGATTAAACAGTTCATTTCGATGCTTCTCCCACACGTGTGTTTGGATCTAACTTCCGCGTTTATTGCTCGGACTGTATCGCAAGATCTCTAAAATCTCGCGCATGCCTGTTTGCGCACCTCAGGTCTCCGCACCGGAGCGGAGCCGTTGTAGAGCGGGTACCAGTAAAATTGAGTTCAGAAGCGAGCGGCTGCGGAAGGCGGGGGCGGAGCGGAGTTAGTGGAATTTTGGGGTTAGAATAACAACAAAAGCACTCTTGTTGTCTGTGAGCAGCTCCAATTCAGGCTGAGTGAGTGGAACATCACTGCAGGTGGAGTTGATTCAGACCAAACTCCACACAGAAGTCTGGACTAATTAAGCTCTTTTTAACAGGAATGTGCAACAAATGAGCAGCTAACCACCCTGTCATAGTCCTCCTCGGTGAACACCCTGTCCCTCTGCAGGATTTCATGGAGTCGGGCCTTGACGCGATGCTGACAGCTGCTCAGCGAGTCGCTGTCACTGTCCAGGAGCCCATTCATGTTGGCGCTCTTCACCATCTGAACCAGGATGGGTGTCAGCTCACCTTCTAGAGCCAGCAAGCCCTGCTCAGACACACAGAGACAACAAGGAGGACACCAGTTGTGTAAAATGATGCTTCGTGAACTTATCAGAAGGTTGGTTTTCTCACATTATTACACTGCCTAAATGAAAATGGATCCTACAGAGAATGATGCAATAACAATTAGCGGAGGTGATATGCACTCACCTATGTGCCTCTGTTATAAGATAAGTAAATAGAACACATTTGTGAATGAGGTAATGGCTGGATGTTTGAGACCTTGAATTTGAACTGAAAGAACCTTTGTTAGTACAACTGTGGATGAGAATATCTGCTCCCTTTGGTGGTCTGGTTCCTTTCCCACATGTCACAAATCCCCGAAGAGTCCAGAGTGACAGAAAAAATACTTTAAATATTGGATGATAACAATTTTTGCTGAAAACAAGTCAAAATCAACAGTGATCTCCCAGAATTTTCTTGTGCTTTTTCGCCCACAGGTCGTGAAACCAGGAAATTGGATTCTGATGAAACAAGACAATTGGGGCAGCCCGAGGTGAGAAGGTCCATTCGAAGTACTCCTCACCACTCCTACTGCTGTGAAGATTGCTGAGAGGCCATCTTGGATTCATCTATCCCACTGTAAGCTCATCAATGTCAACTGACCGCTACTAGAGCGACAACAAAGTCTGGCTGCAAAGGGGTGGGTTACCTTTAGGGTCCCACGTCTCAACCCCGGTGAAGATAAAGATCTGCTTCAAGCTTGCTGGTTTCACCACATTGCTGATGTTGGTGCACGCTCACGGCCCTGTACTTGGGCCGCCTCTCAGCACCTGATGGAATGACTGGGACAGCAGCATCTGAGGGGTACTAGAACTGGAACTGAAACGACGGATTGGGGCTCCTCCCTGACCGCACACCTACATGACAATGTGACCTGCATCCACCTTGGCTGAAGACTCTCTGGACGCAACTACGACAGGACACAGCGACGAAGAGACGCTGGAAAAGGATAACTGCTTCAATCACCTGCACCCAATCTCCTTCGTGGTTTCACGGTCAAAGGATCAGAAGGACTTATCGGGGACAGGATCAGCTCCCTGACAATTGGGCAACCACCTCAACACGCCACGGAAGGACCCTGACATCTTCCTATTGAGAAGTTGAACTGTGCGCTCCCACATCCCGGACTCCATTCTTGTACTCCGGACCTGGACTTCAAGGAACCCATCAACGTGAGACTGAAACCATCATGATCAACAGAAGAGGACTCTGACCTTCCAAACTATTCTCCAACCGAGACTCCCAGCCCACGGACAAGCTCTTTGATGAAGAACGCTCGATTTGCCTCAGCTTCTGCCATAGTTAGAGTTGCATAAATAAATATTACCTGTTCATTTTCCCTCATTCACAGGAAGAGTCGTCTGCAACTTGACGCTTTAAATTAAATTCATCTGATGTTTCAATAAACTCTACTGATGTTTTATGTATATTATGTGGTTTTGCTTACCCTTCCCAGCCTCTTTACAGAAACTGCTATAAATTTTAGAATTGTTGCATCACAGTAAACTCACTTAAATATGTATGTTATAGCTCTTTAAAAGTTTATGATGGTGTTGATTTAGCTGACTTCCGTTATCTCACTTATATCTCTGTAAACTGCTGTTTGCCTTATCGTGTTTTATTATTTTAATTGTTCTTTATTATTTTACTTATTTGTTCTTTGTGCTGTTGTTTTCTTTTTGTTTGGTTATCCTATTCGGATAAACAGGAGGAATTATGGTATGGAAATCTTGTATTTCATTATTTTAATCCTATTAATTAATGTATTACCTTACGACTGAAAGCGTACACACACACACACACACACACACACACACACACACACACACACACACACACACACACACACACACCTCTGTTCTTTCCTTATCTCATGTTATAAAATAAACTTGCAGAGCTGAACTCGGGGCAGTTGCCTTGTGCTCTGCCACAGATTGCTATTTGGTTTACTTGTCTGTTTATTGTCTCTCTTCTTTTCTCTTCGACTGCAGGAAACAGGTTTATTGATAAATATATTGATGAAATCCCTAACGGTACATTTGTATAAAAATAGACAAAACAGTATTATCAAACACATGTTGTAAATCTAGAGAACCTTTGCAAAAGCTGCAGCTGTCATCTGCACCCTGCCTTCATCAGATGCATATATCTTCAGGTCGTGTCTGTAGGTGCTGTGTAATCGCAGTAACCCACAGCCTGGAAATCCAGCGTAGTCTCCTACAAAAACCACAGTCCAAACAACTCTGGTTTACATTTACAGATACAGATGCAGCAGGAAGATGGCACATCTAACACACACCAACATCTGAGCTCTCTGTAGTAAAAACACCATATCTGTTTAACTTTAACTAAAGTTTGTGCCCTTTTAGTTTAGATTTCTGTCTCAGCTGAACTCGGATGCCTTTTACTACATGGTTGTTGCCTGTCCTTCGCTATTTTATGAGCGCAATCTCTTAAAATGACTATATTCTAAATCCAAATGTGTGTTATAGAAGTTAATGATGCAGTAGGTACCACAGAATACAGCAGGCTGATTTATCTGTGTACACCTCACCTTGCCCTCCAGGGTACATGCAGCGGAAAGCTCTTCCCAGCTCCTCAGCCTGAACTCTTCCAACCGGAGTCAGCTCTCCCCCCCACTTCAGCACCAACAGCAGAGACGGTCCCTCCTTACGGGTGTCTAGAACAAGTCCACAACACGCTGATCATCATGCAGTTTGAGACTTCAGTCCATTTCTTTAGCAAAATAGCCCACGTGGGTTTATTTCCCTACCTTCTTCTTCACTTGAGGTTTTAGGCTGTCCGTGGGGCAGGTACGTCAGTTGCACTTTTCGATTGATCCCAGAGAAGTGGCCATACCTTCATTAGCAGGAGGAAGGAATATTCAATTAAATCAAATTGATGCATTTTCTGCTTCCAAGTTAGATTTATACTACCTGTCCAGGAAAAAAAAAGATATAATTTTTACTTTCAAGCAAACAGAATCAGGATATTCGTCAGATTTAAGAAGATAAATGTATAAATAATAACAGGCAGCTTAATTTTTGTGTTTGAGGAAAGCATGGCAGACGTAGATTGGTTTCAACCAACACGACACCGTTAGATCTGCCTAAACATATTATATATTTACCGTACACAAAAACGACCAACCCTGTCAAACTTAATGAATGCTTAGGGTGAATCTGATGGACAAAACAAGAATTGGAAAAATCTCAGTATACGCTCATAATTTAACCAAATTATTACAGTTTGTTACATAATCGAAGTTTAGGTTAGGTGGGCAAACAATCTATAACGGTTTGAACATCCCACTCTAGTGCTCCCTACATTAGATCAGTAGAGCTGGAGCCAGAGAGAAGTGACGTTGGTCACTTACATTTCTAAAACCGTCTTCAGCTGCTCCAGTTTGGACTTCTTCTCTTCTATCTCACAGTCATTGTGTTGTCCCAGTTCTGCCAACAGTTGCCGTGTGATGTCCAGCACCTCCTGTAGGGCAACGAGCTATGAGAAACCTAACCAGAGCAGTGAACAGTGGTTAGGTCACTAAAAAACTTGCTGACCTGTAGTTGTTTTGGCTTTTTGAGTTTTAGTTTCCCAGTTTTGTATCCCTCATATTTTTCAAACAGATCAAAGAACCTGGATGCATCAAAGACGAATGAATGAATCACAAGATTTGAATCTGATTTTGGGTTATGAAACAACAAGTGTTAAAGAAAACAGACATGGGGTTGCGAACTTCCATCTTCATCTTCTGTTTGGGTGTTCTGTCTCCATGACGGATCACAGCGATAACACAGCGTAGTTCCATCCTGGGGGGGGGTTAAACTTTAATGAACAACAGTCCCGTTTAACCATTACATACGTATCATCCCTAAAACCAGTATCTTACTGGGCTGTAACAGCTGGTGACAAGATGGTAACACAATATTTTGAGAAAATAAACTCATTTTCATTTGGACTCATGGGACACAACTGCAAACAAACCAATATGGAAATGTTCTTCCATAAGTTAGTCACAAAGTATCTGGAACATGTCCCACCATGTTAATAATTTACCCTCACTGTATCTGTAATCTGGTCGGCAGCCTCTCCCAGAGTTGTCTTGCGTTTCCAACGCTTTCTGATTTAGGAGGTTAAATAAACCAAGCCTTAAACAATCCGTCCTATGTGTGTAAACATATAGCCTGGTCATGCCCTGCAGCGCAGGTTGTAGCGTAAAAGTTACGGATGTCTTTCAAACTGTCTGCATGCAATTGGACAACGCTAGGAGCAATCAGAGCAATGAACAATAGGGATGTACAATATATCAGCATCACTACCGGTATCGGCCGATGTTAAGTCATTTTTAACATATCTGTATCGGTCCGATAAGTAAAATCGAGTCAATATTAACAACTGATATTTTTTCCATCTTGTTTCCATTTGTTTGTCTGTTTCAGAGGGTGAGGGGGGTGGTGTGTAATTGTTTAGTCATGTGAACAGTGACTGTAATCCTCTCAGAAACGTAAATGTGTGCGGTGTGTGTACACAATAACGTAAATTCAGCTTTAATAATTTTCATTCTATACAAAATCTGCTGATTTTAGAAGCATTAATTTCAGTATATCAGTATCAGCAAATATCAGTTATCGGCCATAACTGTGATCTTAATATCGGTATCGGCTAGGGCTGCAACAAACGATTATTTGGATAATCGATGAATCAGATGGGGTCTCGACACGATTAATCGATTAATCGGATTACGTGGGGAAATTTTTAAAAACTGCTAGGGAAACGTTATTTCTCTCCTTCCTTCACTTTATTTAACACAACATTATTAGAAAACAGTTCAATAGCAGAAAAACAACATGCCATCACCTAAATTGTCTTATAAGGTGTATAGACAGAGACCCTAAGCTACACCTATCTGTGACCTAAAATGCTTGGTCCAATTAAACAGCTTAAGGGCAATTCTCATCTGTTTTGTTTGATCTCATCTGTAGACATTTATTATAACTGGGGATGTCAAACAACTAATTTTTAAATGTAATTAAACATAGGCTGTGAATTAATCAAAATTGATCACTATTTCCAAAAATGACTGAAAAAATAAGTTGTCACACACTCCATGGAAACTTTCAGAGAATCCACAAATAGTGGCTTTCAAATGGTTTTGTTACTTTCTGCAAGTTTAGAAAAGAAGCAGATGAGACAGCATGTCTGATAATTTAGTTTTTCATCTGATAATATTAGAACATGTCAGTAATGCCTGAGGGGCTTTTATAAACACTGTATAACTAACACTACTGGAGAGGGTATGAATTACACAGAGGCTTCTGGGGAGCCCAGTTATGGGGGGGGGGGGGGGGGGGCATTTTGGCCCCCAAAATGTCTTGAAACGGCCCTGGGTGTGTGACTGAGTGTTGAAGGTGACCTGAATAGTATCAAATTTATAAATATTACATGTGTGTAACTTATTGTTTTGTAGGTAAAAACGTGTAGTGGAGATAAATCTACCTACATTTTACTTTTCAACACTTTGTTTTGTTGTTTTTATTTAACTATTTTCCTGTCCTGTCTGTCTCTCATCTTCCTGCATCTCCTCTAAACTCTCCAGAAAAACTGCTGCCTGGATTCTTACTTTTTCACCTCATCAGTTACTTCTGTGCAGATCAAAGGGATCTCCTGACCGCAAAGCGCAGAGCGCGTTTTCGATGCTGCGTGAGGTGAAATCACCGCAGCACAGGTGATGAGCTCCGCAGTAGCAGAGTGCTGCAGGCACAAATAAGACAGAAAATAGAGAACATGTGCAGACATGAACGATCGTGTGCTAATTATAGTTTTTTGGTTGCGCCACTTTGAGAATGGACCGTGCGCAGGACGCATGCAGCCTGGAGAGCTGCACAACAACGCGCTGTGCCGCTCTCTGCTCAAAAGAGTCCAAAAATGATATAATATAGAAAACTTTTTTCCGGCTCCCCGGATGTGTAGGATATACAGCTCCCCCATAATTCGATCCCTGCTCCTGGATGAAAAGCCGGACATTTTCATCAATACAAGAACCCGGAGTCCGGACGCGCCGGACAGAGTGAAAAGTGGACATGTCCGGGGAAAACGGAACGTACGGTCACCATAGTCCTCATAAAGCGGGAAATTATAGATACAGTATTTTGCTCGTGCCCTGGGCCCTTTAGAGTTCGTGGGCCCTGGGCAATTGCCCAGTTAATCCGGCCTTGGGCGGAACCGGTTCGCAGCAGCGCGAGTCCCCCCGCTCATCTAATAAGCGTCGCGCTCACGACTTTAGACTCTTTTTTTACGAGCTTAGGGCATGTCTAGCCTGTGTAATAATCCGGGACTTGGATGAATCACTTTTGAAAAGTTTTTAATTTACCCAGACACAGAGTTCTCTCCTTCCTCGCTGATGATCCCGACATGCTTGCGTTTAAGACGCTGCATCATCCCGTGCCATGCTAAGTCTGACCTAAACGTTGCAGGTAACGCATGTCTTCGCCTGATTTAACTGAAAATGCTCCCAAACTTAAAAAGCTTTTACTTTTTTGACTCTCGCTGCTTCTGCCATGTTCCTCTTCCAAACAACTGCCGGCTCTCCCTCGCGCTGATCTGCCGGCTCTCCCTCGCGCTGATCTGTCTGCGCGCAACGGCGGGCGGGAGGGGGGGGGGGGGCGCTTTTGGAAGAGTTGTGCGACACAATGAATCGATGACGCAATTCGTTGCCAACGCTTTTAGTAATCGATTTTCATCGAATTTATCGATTCGTTGTTGCAGCCCTAGTATCGGCCCAAAGGTTTCACATCGGTGCATTCCTAATGAACAATACGACATATTCATCACTAGGAAAACCAGCTAACAGACAGTCCGCCATACATTCTAAATTGTCCAGCGTTGATGCCAAAGTCATTTCAAATGAGCGCTGTTCCTGAGCTGACATCGTTTTTGTAGTTTTTTTCCATAGTAGCTCTGATTGGCCGGTGTCTGTACCAGATCTGCTCGGACTGCCAGATCGGCTCGGGGTCCTGCGCCTGCTGATGACGTCACATTACAGCCAATCCACATAAGTTTTGGAAAGACATCAGCAGTTTTGTAAAATACTTGTTTGTTACCACCTAAATATTCTCTTTATCGTTGTAATTTGTTAATAAAACACCATATTATCTTTGTTTTGTAAAGAATGTGAAACAACATCAAACCAACACCAGACTGCCAAAAAAGACAACAGTTCTTATATGTGAAGCCATATCTGCTTGTATAAATGTTGAATTTGTCTGTATATTTCCTTAGCTGGGGCAGCAGTAGCTCAACAGGTTGAGCGGGTTGTCCAGTAATCAGAAGGTTGCAGGTTCGATCCCGGCTCCGGACAGAGAATTCTGCTGCTGTGTCCTTGGGCAAGACACTTAACCCACCTTGCCTGCTGGTGGTGGTCGGAGGGACCGGTGGCTCCTGTGCTCGGCAGCCTCACCTGTCAGCGCGCCCCAGGGCAGCTGTGGCTACATTGTAGCTCATCACCATCAGTGTGTGAATGGATGAATGATACACTGTAGTGTAAAGCACTTTGGAGTCCTTACTCTGAGTGGCACTATACAAGTGCGGCTCATTTATCATTTAGTTATGTAAATACATTCATCCATTCAAAATGTTGCTTGCTGTCTTTTCAATAGTTCTTATATTTTATTTTGCTGCATTTCATCAAAATCAAGAGCTTTAGAGGGTCACCGTTTATCAGTTGATATCTTTGCTTTTATTTTACATTTTCTTTGGAAATTCAAACATTTTCTCCAAAAAGTGTTGATTTCTGGACTACAGGACTACACCCGCTAAGACTGCAACCATAAATTCATTCTGACCAATCAAAATCGTCATTGTCAACGTGCTAACGTAACTTTTACGAATGTGGTATCGTAACTTCCGTAAGTCTTACGTTCACCCAAACATCTGCTGTGACGTGTTTGGCAGACACAGGACCCCGAGCCGATCTAGCTGCCTGAGCAGATCCGGTACCAACACCGGACCTAAACTTGTTCGGGCCAATGGTAGCTCTGCTGAGGCGAGACCAACATGCAGAGTAAAATCTTTTGCTATAGCTTTAGTTTGTTTAGATTTGTTCCTTACTCTCCATGACTGATGTCAATGTTGTTGTTATTGTTGTTGTTAGCCTCAAGGGCAACATGCCTTACATGTATACTTGTAAGTCGCTTTGGACAAAAGCGTCTGCTAAATACATAAACATAAACATGTCTAGGACTACAATAAAAATGGTCTGAGATCGGTCCCTGATCTCGCTAAACTTCTTTAGGAGGAAATCTATTACTCAAACTTTGACATTTTGATTTTCAGCAACACAATAACAAGGCCCTGAGACTCACACAAGGAAAACTGAGCACCGTCACAAACTCAGTCATTTTCAAATAGGGCTGCAACAACAAATCGACTAAATGCGTTGGCAACGCTCATTGTCATCGATTAGTTGTGCAACTTTTTTGCGTGTAGTGCAACCCTTGTGAAACAGTCAACGCGCAGCGCTCATCTGTATGCGGCAGCAGAGCAGGCCGAGGCAGATCACAACGAGAGAGATATGTCACACGTGTGATGAAAAAAACGGTGTGTGCGATAAAATATTTTTAGGCGTTTTATTTTCAAGTAACTTTTTCCTCAGAACTTTATTGAACATAAGTTGCTTGTTATTGTGTAAGGGATATGCTTTTTACTGGCACACAGTTTGCTAATCTGTGTGCTGTGGAGAAAAACAAAAACCAGTAAAGACAAATAGGCAGAAACTGTTCAAAGTTTGGGATCAAAAGTGTAACTACAGGCAGATTAGCTAATGCTAGCGGGTAGCAGACTCACGATCACGTGGAATTAAAAAAAACACGATGGTCGTGAAACTAAGAACATCTAAACTCTACAAGGGGAAAAAAAGACCCCCATCCTGTTTAAGCTGTCTGCAGCGCTATGGAGCAGAGCCGCTGCAGACAGGTTGCTGCTTCGAGTCTGCTCTGCTCAACACCGCTGCAGGAGTGTGGCAAGCCACTGTAACATGTAATTCACAAACACGTCCATCTGTGAACATAATTTACACTGGATTATTGCTAACCTGTACACAATAGATATGTCACCATTACATTTTAAGCAGTAGAAATTAAATGTTATTTGCATTTCCAGTAGCTTACTACTGAACATGTTAATGAAATACATTAAATTTTACTGATCATAGTTTAACTATGGATATTTAGGTGATACATGTTGTTTTGCACGCTATCGAACTGTTCTAGTCATGTTTTGTTGTTAGTAAAGGAATGAGAGAAAAAACGTTTGACTAGAAGTTATTAAATGTTCCCGTTTAATTCGATTAATTCAGCGATGATCCAAATAATTGTTTATTGCAGCCCTTTTTTCAAAACGTATTTGCAAATACTGTTCACAAACTTTTACCAGCAACTGCGGCCAGGGGTGGACCGGCCTGTCTGGCATTGTCCCGGTGGGCCGCTTGCCCCCCCCCCCATCTAAGGGCAGACAGTTCATAAAAATGCCAGGGCCGAATAATCGTCCCAGTCCACCCCTGGTCGCAGTCCAGTGAGATACTGGTGTAACCAGCAAGAGCTAACTTTGAAATGCCTTACATGGTCCCTGACGTGGTGGGAACAATGGGGATGTCCTCTGCCTCTGTTGGAATAGACCACGGTATCTGAAACTGAGGCGCCAGCTCACGCATCACAATATTCCTGAAAAGTCAGAATGACAGAGATTCAGTAAATCAGATAAAGAAAACAAACAACGTAAATAGTCAAAAGCTAAAATATTTGTACCCTAGAATTTTGGCACAATCATCGTAGTATTTCATTGAGTTCTTCACAAAGCTAAAACCGTTGACATCACACACGTAGGAGCGTCCATTGGCACGAAGAAGATCGAAGCCACACACTGTTTGCTGCAGTAAAAAGAGAGAGGCACATGGTTTTTATGGCTACCCACGGTTTAATCACCCAGTGTGTAAATTCTATTTCCTCAGCAGCACTGTTCTAGGGTGCTCTATCTGCAGCCCAGTGTTCCAGACAACAAACTACAATAAAGTAGAGAAAAACATGAAGGCTCGTTTTGAATAAATACTAAGGTACATTTATCCTTCAGGGACAACAAGGACACGTAAGGCGTGTGAGATTCCTGCTGAGCAATAACTGAAAAGTTTTACTTTAAATCATCAGCTGAGAAACCTTGTCCGGGAATCGCCCCACCTGTTTGAAAGGAACATGAAACTGTAGACCTTTTATCTGCAACTGACCTAAAAATGGTAGGAATACAACCCGATGGAGTTACACAGACAGAAGCCATACAGGAACCTTTACTGTGACATACCTGATCGCACCTGCCAACATTACTTTGCTCACCTTAAATGCGAGGCACACTTTCCGGGCCATCAGTTTCTCCATAGCTGAGAGCATGACAGGGTAACGGACTTCCTTCCCCTCGCTGTCCCGCTCCACCTTCCCATCCAAAGCTGGAGACTTCCGGGCCTCAGCGTGAGCATAATCTGGCCCAACGGTGTACACCTGATGTTTGACAAGGAACCGCCATGCAGGGTTTCTTGTAAATGTCTTCATTAATGCATCAGTTTCATTGTAATGAGAGTACTGATAAAAATCTATTCAAAACCATTAACAAAACTTTCAAACGTCTCAATGTGGTTCAAGAAGGTTTTATTCCAACGTTACGTCTCTACCTTAACATCAGTACCATCGGTTGGCATGAACTCCTCATAGATGTAAGAACCCGTCTTCCTCACACTGCTCTCTGGAGAGTAAACGCTGCTGCGACTCCCAATCTGCACAAAACACAGACGAACTCTTCTTCTACTGTTGTTTAATAAAACAAAGATAAACTGTTTAGCCTCCAAAGCATTTAGTCAAGTCTGAAACAGTATTACAGCTTCAAATGTAAAAAACTGACAAATGTAAATTTGATCAAAAATACTTTTAATAAGATCGCCTGTATTTGATGTTGTGCCTTTAAGAGTTCTCCAAACCCCCCAAGTTGCTTTACCACACCCAGGCACACACATTTGAATACTTTGGGTTTTTATGCAAGAAGAAGGTAAAAGGCAGTGAAAGGGTTTGTGAAATTGTCCGCCTGCCTGTCCAACATACAGACTAAAGGAGAAAACACTTCATCAGCTGTGTGGCCAAAAGCTGCTACTGTACAGCAAAAGCAAAGCAAGGCTAATTATAGCCTGATGCATCAGATCTTTGGACTGTGATGCCTTTTTATGACTTATTAGCTTGTCATATTTGTTAGCATACACCATTATTGTTGCATTTGTTTAAAACAGCATTGAAAATGGTTTCATTGCTACTTGCTTATTGCTGCTTTCTGTAACAAAGTGAAGTCTTGCAAATGTTTTCTGACTGCTTCAACTCTTTTACAACTCTTTATCTGGGGTTTGTGGACGCTACTGTAAAGAAGCTAAAGAACAGCAGCTAGCTAAAGGTGATGGTTAATGTTCCAGTTGATAAACAGTTTTAGTTATAAAAATAAAAAACATGAAAGGAAAGTGTGAATGAGTCTCATAATGCTGTTTCAAATCACTTGAGTGTGTAAAAAGGGAACGAGCCAACCTGCTGTCGGTTTGTTTTTTGACAGAATCAGCATTTTGTTTTAAAAAAAAATAATAATTTTTTTTATTAAAAAAAAAAAAAGAAAGTGAAGGAGAAAATAAGGACCTTTCTGAAGAGCCGCTGACTGCCACCACCTGCAGAGGTGGGGTAGTAGATGTAGACGTTGTGGTCCTCAGCACAGACGGGTTTCTCAACAAAAGGCTTCTGGAACATCTCTCCATTCACCTCTACATGGTCCTCTCCTTCCACTAGGTTACACTCTGAAAAGAAAAGTCCAGAGCAAATGTTGCTGTTTGTCAGGCAGTCCATTTAATTCCTACCAATAACACACACACACACACGCACGCACGCACGCATGCACGCACACACACACACACACACACACACACACACACACATACACACGACACTTGACCCTGCTGTGTTTTCTCTCTGGGCCTCTGGAGCAGCTCAACACTCTGAGTCATGTGACTTTGGTTCCTTCTGTCCAGGAAGGCCAACATGTAGACATCTAATCACTCATTCCTCTGGGAACTGACTGTCAAACAGGATTTGAATGCCAAACCCTTTTATATCAGAGGGTTTATGTGTGGGGCGCTTGTTACTGCCGCTATAATTATCTATGAACTGAAATCAAATCAAAACCTTCTAAAGACGCTGCACAGATGAGGACTTCAGGGCCAGCTTACTTAGCAAGAGCAATCCAGTTGTTAAAGATTAAAACTGAAAATGAGAGAATGTATTCTTCTACAAATGTAGCCAATGAAGAACATATCAAAGACAGACCGTCTGGTTTATCTGGGTCACGGTTCAGCACTGCATAGCGTGGCAGCTCAATCCCCTCTTCCTGCAGGATGCGATACACCTCTCTTCTGTTAAAGCAAAATTAGAAACCACAAATAAGGCAGGACTGTTGCATTCAGCTCTACAGATGATAAAAAATGTTTTAATCAAATGGATGCACCTGTCCTGTATGTAGTATTGCATGTTCAGGTCATTGATGTGCAGAGGGTTTCTCAGCTTGGCGTAGCTCACAGCCTTATCCAACGGGAATCCTGTTTACCACAGACACATCGGTCCAAACATTGACTCAAAGCTACTAAGATGCACCAAAATCATCAGAATCTCAACAGAAAGGAGGAGGAGGGAGCACACCCTTGGAATGGAAGGAGATGAGACAATCACACAGAGGCCATTTGTCCACAGGCTCGTTGAGGATGATGTCCTCCGGGAAGATGACCACGGTGATGTACTCAAACTTGCAAAGCCTCTCCAGAATCTGGGTCATTGGCTTGGACTTGGACTTCTTCATCATGCAACAGATCCCTACCACAATCTGTTGCTCTGGGGGCTAAACAACAGACAGGAAATATAAAAAAAACACACAGTTACAGACATTTTAATGACATGCCTACAATCTAAAGAGATAACATGTCAGATGTGTCTGATGGATATGAAAACCTGATGACAGGAAACAATTAATAAAACTGTAACTACATGGGAACTGTTCAGTAGAAATTTTACATTGATCTGAAAAAAAAAAACCACCCCAAATTTTAAATCAAGTAAAAAAGTGTTTAAGCTACTGAAGACAAAAATGAAGCAAGATGTTGTAGGAGTCATGTGCCGTGATTGTTTTCAACAACACTGACTTGTTTTTACCGTCAGCAGAAAAAAGAGCTTCAACACAAATAATGTCTGTTGTCTTTGTTGCTCTTTATGTAACAAAACTAACTTACATCTTAACATTTCTGATCCTTTGGGTAACACATACGAGTTTTAAACTGTAATAACTGCTTATTATCTATCTGATACCCTCTTCTTCATCTCCTCTCCAATTTCTATTCTCCTTTCTTCAGTCCTGCTTATAAAGACATGAATTGGACTTAGTTTTGTTTGAGTAGTTTTTTTTTAATTTACCCTCTTAAAACTCTCGGGCAGACCATAAGGTGGTCTGTAGTCTGCACTGACACACTAAATTAATAAGCAAGTATTTGTCTTGTTAGTCCAGAGCAAGCCTGAAAAGTTAGAAATCTGTCAGCGTCTGCTACACCAGCTTAAGGTAATTAGGTTAATGTATTTCACTATATGTGCTCAGTCAATAGTATCTGTGAGTGACCCAGTTAGTCAAAGGCATGTAATGTTGAACATCCGATGTGCTTTGAATGGTCAAAAGCATTTGTTTAAATGTCAAAAAACGTGAAATAAAATGTTTTCTTTAGTGACGTTGACTGTGGGCCTTTGGCTGCTGAGGGATTCTGGTGTGTTCCTGCTATGAGAAGGAAGAGTCTCACAGAGTCGGTGTCTTCATCGTCTTCGTACAGCTCCATGTCTGTCCTTATGCTGTCTTCCAGGACTTCGCTCTCATCGTCCTCGCAGCCCACGAAGAATCTGGGAGCGCCACGCTGGCTCTCGCCTGGGCTGCCGGGCTCTGACATCACAGTCCCCCGCGGCAGCCCTTAGCATCCCACCACACCATTGTACACCAACACACCGATGAAGTGGGCCGTCGATGGAGGGGGCATGAGGCCTGGGGGAGGGGGGTGGTTCCACTCTGCACAACAGAGCTGAGAGATGGTGTGTGAAGCTGAGGAGCAACACAACAAGGAGTCCTTCGAGCTAAAAATATCAGAAGAAAAACGATTCTTCTGGCCAGTCCCTAGTGACGATGTCAGTCTAGTTTCTCATCATCCATTCAACAAGTTTGCATCTTATGACTGACTTGAGTTAAAAAAGAAGCATCAGCATTTAGCTGCAGTCATCTGATGATGATCCGGTCCTCCATTTGGGTGCAGCGCAGACAATCCTGCAGGAACACAAAATGCAAATACATCAGATCAAATGAACACATCAAATTGGAATCGGAGTTAACTATGACTCATTTAAATTCCAAAATCTGAAAACGTAAAGCTCGGCTCACTAAAGGAATGGAATTAAAACGATTTCAAAGTTTATTAAAACAGATTATATCAAAAAGTGAATGATTTAAAAATAATTTATAAACTCTTAAAACTGTAAAAAAAATAAAATAAAAAAGTTAGACAAGCAGCCTTTTCATGACCACTTTACATTAGCCGCTCCGAAGCATAAGTGAGCAGAAAATCAGCATTTTATACGCAAACCACAAGTGATCATTACACAGCAACACACACATCTAAGCTACAAACCACAAGTAGGCTCTTAAAGGTCTGGCATGAACATTAGCAGCAGAAACCCCTTGGTATTCAGCACAGCTCAGTGGAGGGCGAAAAAACAAACACAAATGTCCAAACTCTCAAAGTCACAAAACACAAATATTGTTACTAAAGAAGTCCAGTTTCCCCTGCAGCATTTTATTATTCATCAGAGGATCTCATGACCAACATTTGTGTACACTTACGTAAACTTTAATAAATGTGTACGCAACATTTAGAGACATGACTTCAAAAGTCAACACAGCATTAAAGCACAGAATATTTTTTTCTTTGTTTTTTAATCACACACAAAAACAGGAGGGCAAATGTATTGTTGCTGACACAAAACTAATAGGGAACATATGTTTGAAAAGAAACTATAACTGTGTTCTTTCCTAAATATTTTCTGAGAGTACTTTTTATAGCTTTTGTTCTTATGTGAAGTTTTGTAGCACAAATTGTATGAGTCATTTACTAACATTAAAATAGACACTAATCAAATAAAAGGTATGTATAGTGTAAAGCTACAAAAAGGAGTTTAAAATGTTCTAACTTATTTTCTAAAAAAAATAAACTATATGGCCAGAACGAATCCACTTGTTTTAACTGCTGCACCTGATCTTCAGATGGGAACATCGACCTAGAAAAGGGGATCTCTCACACAGTTCCTCTTACAAACTGGATAACGAGGAACGACTGAACCAAAACAGACAAATCCAAAAACGCACGGATGCGCTAACGCCTGTTATCAGAATACTTTACGCAAACTGAAATATAAAATGTTATTCAACACTAAAGGGGATGTGTGCAAAACTAAAATATAAACGGTTTAACAGCAATATTTTCCACACAAACATCTACTAACTCGGTTCGTAAAATAAATTAGCTTAGACGACATAGCCACAGTTAGCTAATGTTAGCTTTCAACACACGGCTGCTTCAATAAAATGAACGGGACATTTTCGTCTGGGTTTACAGCAAAAGCTAAATGTTATTATTAAAATTAGCGCTTAATACAAAATACTTGTAAACGGTTCTCGGTGAGAGCAATAAAAATGACTCACGATGTAGATAGAACGTCTTTGCTACTGCCTCTGACTGTTGACAGTTTCCAACATAGACACGTAGACGCCCCATTGGACGCTGGAGACAAAGGTCCCGCCTTTCTCGCCTCTGATTGGCTGGAAGGGCTCTCCTACGATTCGCTCTCTCATGTACCAGTAAACGTCTCCCCTCGCTGCAGCCATATTTCGAGGAGTTTTTTGAATAAAATATTAACTTAGCGCTATAATAACCATTCTGTCCTGTTATGCAACAAATCAGTTTCAGTATCTTTTTTTAAAAGAACAAGAAAAACGGTAAATGTGTACTTGTAATAAATTTTGTTGCATTTATCACACTGTGGCTCTTGGGGTTGTCTTACTTACTGTATGCTGTCTTCACGTTAAGGCTGTTTACAAGTAAGAACACATCTCTTATCATCTGTTTAAATGTGATTAAATAACTTATTTGAAAGCTGACTATGATTCAGACCCATTTTCACCAGTTTTCATTATTCTACAAGAGAATCAGACCTGCTGCACACAGCTGTGCAAATAGGGCAGTTTGATTATATTTCACACCCAGATAGGCACATATATGTGCACATATCCTATGTACTCTGCTCTAATAAGATGATCTCAATGCTTGCGAGCCGAAAAATATAAGTCTAACAGTGTGACAAATGCAACTATTTATTATAAGCTCACGTTTTACATTTTTTCAGTTAAAAAAAAGAGAAACAGAAAAAAAAACTATTTTGCAAAATAGGACAGAATGCTTATTGTAGCGCTAAGTTCACATTTTCTTTACAGAAAAAACTCCTCAAAACGGCTGTTCTGGTAGTGGCAGGAGGACAGTCTGCACTTATCTGGAAAAGACGGTTTGCTGCTAAATGAAATAGCCAATCGGAGTAGAGCCCTCCAAGTCAATCAGAGGCGAGAAAGGCGGGCTTTTCCTTGGACACCATGCAGTTCCAAATGACTTGTCCTGGAGAGCGTAACAACATCGCTGTCATATTGGATAGGTCTCTTCACTCTCCAAAGTCAATGCAGAGTGTGCAACTATGCCCGTTTTTGTGCAGCCTAAGGTTACAACAACTGGCGTAATATTGAAAACAGATCGCGTGGGATTGCTATTGACTTTTCTATCTAGCCTACCTGATGGGATTTCATATGTATTTTTTTATTTTGTTTAAATATATTAATAGTGTATTATCATGCCACACCATGTGCCTGATTTTGTGAAAAAGCTTGATAAAATGTGTTGTTTTTTTAGTTGGGGTAACACCATCCTCAATAGAAACGAATGTATTGCAGGTGTACGGAGACCTGGTTTCTTTAATAGCGGCTGAACAACTGCGTTTTTAAAAGCAGCTGGAAACCTATATTAATCTCGATGCTGGAAACACACCAGAGGAGAAGCTGGAATTGACAATATCCAAAACAGCAGGGGCCACCAGTCTGACTGTGTCAATTATCGCCCAATCTCAAAAGTAATTGTGTCATGTTCCTGGGCAGAGGTGAGTCACACCTTCTCCTCTCACCAGACTCTGAGCTAATTCTCCACAGGTGAGGAGCAGGGGGAGCGGCAGCTGCAGGAGATTTCCCAATCAGGGACGCGGGTTCAAAAGGAGGATGGAGACACATCACTTTGCCGGATGATTGCACCAGTTTAGGTAGCACCAGCCACTCGACTCTGAACTTTGATCTTGTTAATTCGTGTTTTGACTCGCCTTCGACTAGTGGATTTATGACCTTGGATTGTATTTTGGATTTGGAATTGGATTATCCCTTACGCCTGTTTTTGTCTCGCTCAGGATCATCTCATCATCTACTCACCCTCGCTGTCTTCGTTTTCTGGAACATACTCATCACGTCCCATCCTCCTCCGCCGTTCCTGTTTGGCCTTCCCTCTGCTACCTCACCCCTCCTGGATCTCTCATCCTCTGCCCAGCGTCCTCCCCGGCTTCCCCTCCTCTACTGATTAACCTGAGCACCTCAGAGACTCGAGCCGTATTGCTCATCCCACAGGACTTCCCTGTGCGGTTTCAGTTCCCGTTTTTATAATAAAGACATTTTACTTTACTGCTTTGGACTACGTGTGCTGATTCTGCATGTCTTGGGTTAGACACTTACCTCGAGCCATGACAAATTGAGAAACTGGCTGTCACGCAGCTTACTTCTCACCTAGATGACAATGGGCTTCTTGACCCATTCCAGTCAGGTTTTAGATGTAATTACAGCACAGAATCTGCACACATTCGGGTACTCAATGACATCCTGATTCTAACTGACTCTGGCTCCCATGTGCTGTTACTGTTACTCGACCTGACCGCAGCATTCAACACTGTAGACAACACCATCCTACTTCACAGACCTGAATTTTGGGTGGGTGTGACCGGTACTGCCCTCGAATGGTTTAAGTCATACCTTAATGGTCAGTGATTCAGTGTTCATGTTGGAGACTGCTCTTCTCCCAATGTCCCACTTCCATGGGGAGTACCGCAGGGCTCCATCCTGGGTCCTCTCCTCTTTTCAATTTACATGCTACCACTTGGTAAGATTTTAGCAAGTCTTGGGGTTAACTACCACTTTTATGCAGATGATTGCCAGATCTACCTTCAAATCAACCAACAGCACTCATTTTCTCTAATGTCAGAATGCCTCTCCCAGGTCAGATCCTAGCTTTCTCATAACTGCCTATGGTTAAATGACAGCAAATCAGATGCCATACTTTTTAGCCCCACTAACATGAATGGTGCTTTAGATGTCTCAACTCTCCCACTCAATCTCAAATCATGTGCCACTAGCCTAGGTGTGAAACTGGACTCTGACCTTTCAATGTCTTCACAAGTCAACGCTACTGTCAAGTCCTGCTTTTTCCAACTCCTCCGCATCACTCGTCTTTAGTCAATCCTCAAACGCCCGGATCTTGAGTCAGTCATTCATGCTTTCATTACTTCATGTCTGGATTACGCACACTCTGTCCTGATTGGGATTAATGCTTCAGCCTTAAGCAAACTGCAGAAGGTTCAAAATGCCTTGGCCAGATTTTTAACTAACACCGACAGATGCGTGCACATCACACCCATCCTCGCAGATTTACACTGGCTCCCTGTCAAATTTAGGATTAACTTCGAGGTCTTGTTATATGTTTACAAGGCTTTGTACTGCCCATCCCCATCCTATCTGACAGACCTGCTGACCCCGTATGTTCCCACCCGTGCGCCCTTCGGTCAGCAGATCATCTGCTGCTTGTTGTTCCGAAGGTTCTGTACAAATCACGGGGGGAGTGTGCCTTCTCTTATGCAGCCCCAAAACTCTGGAACTCTCTGCCCCTCCATGTGCATCTGGCTCCCACTGTTAGCAGTTTCAAGTCGGCCCTGACAATGCATTTCTTTAGTATTGCCTTCCCTCTGTGACACTTTTCATGAAAATCTAATGTGACAGTGTGAGCATCCTGTCACAATATCCCGATAGATCATGCGCCCTGGCTACTTGGCCAAGGGGATGTCCCTTTGGCTGACTGGTTAGCCCGGGAGTCTGGGGATCGAATCCCGCCCGGGCCCTCGTTTCTCCACCTTGCCACACTAGCACCGGATTTGAGTTTTTAATTCTGTTTTTATGATTCAGTTGCACACTTTTGGCACCTCACACCATCTGGTAGCTTATTTTGTTTTATTTGTGCCATTTCAAATGTTTTTATCATTTGTCGCATTATTTTATTTTTTATAGTGCTGTTAACTCTTCTCATATTTCATTGTTTTTAGTAGGAATTTTTATCTCCGACTATTTATGCTTTGTTCTTTTGTACTGTATCTGTCTCACCGAGACAGATCTCAGACAGATCCTGAGACGCTCCTGCCTGACATATTTATTTTATTCACGGAAAAAAAATCTAACTAGTGATTTCTCTTGGCGTTCAGTTTATACATTCAAACAGCACAGCACTCGATTTAAACTACTTACATGTAAATCTTATTTGTCCATCAATTTTCATCCACTTATCCGGAGTCGGGTTACGGGGGCAGTAGCTCCGGGGAAATCCCAAGGGGTTCCCCGGCCAGGTCCGGTAAGAAGTCCGCTCCGACAGCTTCTGGCGTTTTTAAAAAGTATCACAGGGGCCTGGTAAGGGTCGGAGATGTTTAGTCTATTTAATTTCTGACTATATAAAACGATTTCTTCGGTTTTAAAGTGTGAAGTATACTCCGACGAAGTAAAATCCAAGCCGATCCCGTTCATGTTCATGTTTAAGATCCGTGTTTGTTTACCTTTTTTGACTGCCAATATGGCGTCTACTAACTGAGAGTCACGTGGGGTCCGGAGCTCTATATTCTCATTTTTTGAGTTTTATCTTTAATTTCACCAGAAAAGAAACAAAACAATGCCCTGATCAAAGGAAGAACAGTAGGTCTCTCTCTCTCTCTCTCTCTCTCTCTCTCTCTCTCTCTCTCTCACACACACACACACACACACACACACACACACACACACACACACACAGCATACATACCAAGTAATGCATGGTTACATTGTAATTTCCTAGTAAATATTCTATTTGGTGAGAGATCAACTTTATTGTATTTATTCTAGTGAATCTATGAATAAACAGATAAACTAGTAGTAGCACATTCAATGCCAAGGAAAGTAAAATGTTATCATCAGGAGAGGGAGAATGTTTAAGTGGTTAGCAACAGTGTTCAAGCCGATGGTCCCCTCCATGAGGCCACCACAGCTCAGCAGAACATCATTGTAGCTTCTTCTGGGGAGAAAAACACTGTAAGAAAAAATAAAGTTAACATAAAGTTAACAGCTAAAAAGCAGGAAATAATGCAGTTAAAGAGCGGATTGTAGAAGAAAGTAGTCAAGTGTGGAAAGTGGTCAGTGTATCCTCCAGCAGTCTAAGCCTATGGCAGCATAACTACAGAGATAACTCTGGATAGCCTAGCCTTTTACATGGAGGCATGTTGGAGGCAGGGCAAGGGAGAGCCGTACTACCGACTGTACACTCCACCTCCCTCTACTCCCCCACTTGTCCAGATCTAGGCTAACATCAGTTTTTAACCATAGGCCCTATCAAATAAAAATGTTTTAAGCCTAGTCTTAAAAGTAGACAAGGTGTCTGCCTCACAGACTAAAGCTGGGAGTTGGTTCCACTAGAGGAGCCTGATAGCTAAAAGATCTGCTTCCCATCCAATTTTTAGGTATTCTGGGAACCACCAGTAAACCTGCAGTCTGAGAGTGAAGTGCTTGGTTAGGAACATATGGAACAATCAGATCACTGATGTATGATGGAACTTGATTATTAAGAGGCCCAGGGCAGCTGAGGCTACATTAAAGCTCATAACCACCTGTGTGTGTGTGTGTGTGTGTGTGTGTGTGTGTGTGTGTGTGTGTGTGAGGAAACATATAGTGAGTAACAAGAATGTTTAAAATACTCTCACTCCAGTTTGTTTTGTAAATTACAAACTTTAGAAAAGAAGAACAGCAGAGAGAGAGGAAGGGAAATCCATCACTGGACTTCAAGAAATAATTTCTTATGAAGCCCAGTGATGAACTGGCGAACTTGTCCATGCTGTCTTGTGCTGCGCATCTCATCCAGAGAAAATGGATGGACGGATTTCTTGAACTAGTTGGAGGCACTGCTGAGCCGTGCCCATATTTGGAATTTAAGAAATGTCACCACACTCGAAACATTTTATAACTTGTGTTGTTGTCAACGATCTTAGGAATAAACATGGCGTGATGAAATCAGAGAATTGATGATGCTATCTTCTAACTCAGCATTTTTATCAAGGTGACCTTACCTTCCTTCTGCTGATGTACCAACACTGACGTCAACGGGAGGAACAGAACCTGCTTGACCTCCGCTCCAACCGTTACATACCTGTATGCAGGCCAAGTGGGGTGCCAGCAGAAGTCCGTTATAGTGCCTATGAATGGAGCATTTTACAAACAGCTGGGTGAGCAGCAGGTTAACAAGGCTCCTCTGTAACCAATCTGAACATGAGGGTAGGGTGGAGGCCAGCATCCACTTACACAAACTCATGACTGTAAAAATAAAATTAACTCAGCTTTCCTTTTTCACAGACGCTGCTGCTGCTCCTATGGAAATTTTGTTTAATTAACTGTACTTTTTTGTCTCAGAGAAAAAAAGTTTGAAGATTTTGTCAGTTTTCAGTTTTACTAGACTCATTTTCTCCTGCACCATTTCCAGATTCTGTCACAAAGACCGTCTGTGAGGAAAGGCTCATATGGAATTCATTTACCCAAGTCAAAAGCGTTAAACTCTGGGGCTTTCAGCAGCAGGTCAACCAGGACAAATGCTCTTATTATGGAGGCACTCCTCTGGATTCCTCTTCTGCTACTGGTCTCAGCTTCTCCAGGAGCTAACACGTTTTCAGCTCCTCCTTGTTTTGATCGACTGTTTCATCCACAACTCAAACATGAACATAGGTGAGATCAAAGTTAACATTTAGGGTGTGAAAAATTTATTTTTTGAAAATATAAATGATTTTAAAATAGAAAGAGAACAACTGATTAACAAACTAGTAAAATCACGAGTTTCTGATCTTGCTAGCAGGTTATTCGAAGAAAAAAGTACAACAAAGACAACAAGCAAAGAGAAAAATAAAAACTAAACTTCACCTGAACAAAGACAGTAATTGTTTTGATCCTGCACATTTCAGACAGAATCAGTAAAGCTCATCATTTCAATATGTGAATGAATGGGTGAATCACTGGTTAAGTTGTAAAGCGCCTTGGGGGGTTGTAAAATCCTAGAAGGCGCTGTGTAAATTCAAGCCTTTTACCATCCATCCATCCATCCATCCATCCATCCATCCATCCATCCATCCATCCATTCGTTATCCGGGGTTTGGTCACGGGAGCAGCAGCCTAAGGAGAGAGGCCCAGATTTCAGCTGAGAGACATAGTCCCTCCAGCGTGTCCTGGGTCTTCCTTTGGGTTTCCTCCTTAACCAGGAGGTTAAACATGCCTAGAAGACCTCACCAGGGAGGCATCTTAACTAGATGCCCGAGCCACATCAACTGGCTCCTTTCGATGTGGAGGAGCAGCAGATCTAC